CTCCCTTTTTTTTTGCCCCGCTGCTCTCTCTTTACCTTCCCTTCTCGCTGATGGACCCACCTTTCATCCGGACTCTCTCATTGACTTTTTGACAACGACTGACTTACTCCACAAATTTTGATACTTTCAGCCCTTTCTACTTGTATCTCTTGCTACCCTCTACCCCCGTACTATCCCCTGCCCCGCTGTTTTCTGTACCCTGCTGATCATCCCCCCTCCCTTCTGCCATCCAATTCCCTTGCTTCCTTCCCTACCCTGCAGCGCTGTATAGCCCTTGTGGCTTAGCGCTTCTTTTTGATTATAATAATAATAATAAGTGCTAAACTCATTTGGGTCATAATATGCTTGGCTAATGGGAGACAATTAGGTTCAATCCAAGGGAAGAACAGATCCAATTCCTTGGATTAAGAGCACCTCACTAATACCATTGCATCTTTAGTGGGAGACACACCAATAAGAGTTTGAATATTTTTATAACAATATCAAAGAAAACCCAAAATTCTAAGTCCTATAACTCATTATTATTATTACAGTTCACAAATGGGTCATCCAGTGCTTGGGAGAGTGACGGGCATTTAAGTTTAATCCAAGGTAAGAGATTAATGCATTATATTTAGGGGGAAAAGTGCTAAACTCATAGGGGTCATAAAGTGTCTGGAGAATGGGAAGGATATTACAATTCTTGGATCAAGAGCCCCTCACAATTATAATAAATCATGGAGGAGCAAACCTGTAGGATTATACATTACCTGTGGGGAGGTCATGGAAAGTATTCAGGCTTAATTCAGGGAACTGGAGCACAGATCCAATTCCCTAGATCAAGATCCCCTCACCAGTATCAATTATTATAATCAAGGGGAAGCACAAAACCCGTAGGATTATACAGCACCTGTGGGGGGGGGGGATGGAAGGTATTCAGGGTTAATTCAGAGAACTGGAGCACAGATCCAGTTTCCTAGATCAAGAGCCCCTCACCAGCACCAAGGAACCTCCCTTGAGGGGAATCAAGGGTCACACAGCGTTGCACCTTTTACCTGTAGACAACATCCATTTCACTTACCTGAATATTATAATCATAACTAAGCACTAAACCCACAAGGGTTACCTATCTGCAAAGCTTAAAGTATCTGACCATTTTGTAAATATTATAATCGTATTATAATCATGGGAGAGTGCTAAACCTGTAGGATTATACAGCACATGTGGGGGCAGATGGAAGGTATTCAGGCTCAATTCAGAGAACCGGAGCACAGATCCAAGTCCCTAAATCAAGAGCCCCTCACCAGCATCAAGGAACCTCCCTTGAGGGGTTTATAATCATAACAAATTGCTCAACCCAGTGTCATACAATAATGCTTTGTAACCAACAATGATGCATTGTCCAAATATTTGCAACCAAGGTGGTCAAGTTATTTTGACCTTCCTTTTTATGATATTCATTAATAATGCTCAACTCATATGTATCATACAATAAAGTTTATACATATGCTAAACCTGTATAGATAATACAATACTGTGGGTATGGGTGTACTAAGGGTAGGTTAGTCTCTGTTAAGTCAGAGTATGGACTTTCAGAAAGGTCAGTGTTAGGACATTACAGATGCCTGAATTGAATCCTACATGCCTGCTGGCAGGTGGGACAAACTATTTTGATAGGATGAGCCGACACATGGATTATTATTATTATAATCAAGGGGGAAGCACTAAACCCGTAGGATTATACAGCGCCGACACATGGAGTAGGGGTCATTCAGTGCTTGGGGAATAGGTAGCAATTCAATTTGATCCTAGGAAGGGGAAAGTAGCTGAAATTTCTTGTACCAGAGAAGCTTCAACATCAAAGCACCATCTACTCCTTGAAGGAAGGACACTTATTTTCATGTCAAGAGTAAAGTATACATGTACTTCATCCACATAAGAGAAATCCATTACCCCTTCCAGTGATGCTTTTAGTAATTTTTGTTTCTGGTGGCTGATGTGGGAAAAATGAGCCCATAGACAATGAATCTCTTTATTGATTACAAATAGCATATAATACAGATCTAATTACTAAATATTGAGTCCCCTTATGAACAATCACAGTGCTTAATCACAACATAAGTAATTTATTACTGAAGCCACAATCAATATCATGCAAAGGAAAAAGATTGTTTAATGTACAAATCTGCTCAAATTAAATGTTGGAAAAAGCTAGTGAAAAGAATCGGTAGATATTTTAAAAAGTATCACACTCTAACACAGTAATACAATACAGTTTTTTAATGCATATTTAATCATAATACATATAATTACAAAGTTATGTATGCTAGTTTAGTAACCGTGCTTGATGGGCAATGATTGCAATGTAATATTGAAGATGATTATCAAGAATGAGAATTGAGAGAGTTCAATACTTGAAGCAACATGAAGGAAATGATTATATGTTGCAGAAAAGCCATAAAACACACACATTAATCATATATCCTTGAATAGGTCATATAAATCACAGATGTCTTCAACATTCAATTATCTGCCATACAACCTTTCGGTACCAGTAGCAAATGAAATTGTTTATATATATAACAGGTCTATATATAGCTGGTTTACTATAAGTAAACCTAGTATGCATAGGTATACATCAACATGTAGAGTATAGCAAAATGTGCATACAAGTACATTCAAAGATACAAATACCACTTTAAATACATACCAAACTCAAAAATAATACTTTATTCATACACTTATATACCTTTCTGAGCATTGCATTTATACTGCTTTTTTACACATTAATAAAGCAGTGCACTCTATTTTTAATCTTTTCTGGAGTATCATGGGGTATGTAAATAGTAATAAATTTAATTTCTATAAAAAACTAAAAGCAATTATATAGTGGAAAAAGGAATTAATATGTCTTAACTAGCTACACAGTGGTGAGTTATGTCATGCACATCTCAACAGAACTATACATATTAACAATATTACAGTGATAATTCAGTACAATATAATGAATATTGTTAATCATATTTAATCACTAAAGGATTAGCAAATATTTCAGCTTTAGAGCCAGTGTCAGGATGACTAGCTGCAGCATAATCAGTGAGAGAGACAGCATAGCTGTTTTGATATTGGCAATACAATGTTAGGTATCCACTGGGATTCTCATTTATTATAACTTAATGTAAATATATAACCCCCCACCCCCACATACTGTATAAACAATATGCCTTAACACTTCAATTTCTCATTATGTGATCAACAAACTTTACTGCATGCTCACGCATGCAGGACACCCAAAATTAATGGCTGACAATGTTAGAATTTAAAAAAAATAAATAATTTTATCTTATGAAATGGAAGAGAATTTTTTCTTTTGGAAGATAATACCAAAAATACAAATTTTGATGGAAATTTTACAAAATTATGCAAACAAAATTGGCGGTCTGGATGCAATTTACGCGTCAGTTTTGCCCACCGAGACCTATTTTAAGCCAATTGAATTGCTCATTTTAAACAACTTATTAACTATTTTGCTAGTATGCCTTTCATTATATTGACTGAGCACAAGTGACCACCCATTCAACTACCAGAACTACCCTATCAAGAGCACACAAGTTGGTAATTTAGCCAGTTTTACACAAAAACAAAATCCTAAATAAACACAATGCATTCCAGCAACCTATCCTCTGTTCATTTATTATGTTCCCAGGCCTCTCCTACATTACACTTGCCCTCCACTTTGAATCCATCACACAAGAAAAATCAAAAGTTTTAACCTATTCTCGGATAATGATCATGGTTTACGGCATCCCAATAATTGATTCAGACCTAGTAAAAACCCATAAGAGAGAACAGGGAGGTAAGGAGCCTTACCCTTCCTCAGGAAAATTGTCAAAAATCAAACATTTCTGCTTCTCTGAGTCCTATTTCCAGCTACTTCCAGTCCTAAAACTAAAATAATCTCTATTTCAGTACATGTAATATGTTTACCACATTATCAAATGATACTATGAAACAGCCAGTAAAACCATTCTAGAAAACACCTCAAAGTTGCTGTTTTAAACCAAACACAAGGTCAGAGGCTGGCTTTTTCCAATATGTACTGCATGAGGTAGATATTTTATTATACGGAGTGCACTCACTGCCCAGACCCATTCTCTCGTATCTAGGCCAAGATTTACCACTCACAGCATCTTTGAGGGTGCTGTGCTTCAAACGTGGATCTAAGCGAGCGACAAGCATCAATAACGTAGATTTACACAAGAGACACTGAAAGGGTTCAAAAGCACAACATTAAGCAATGAACATCCATACTATTACAAAGTAAATTTACTTTCATTTTTAACCCTTTGACTGTCGCAACCCCCAATCCTGAGGTTTCTCCTGGTGTCGCAAAATTTAAAAAAAAAAATTATTTTTTCTTTTGAAATGATAGAGAATCTTTTCCCGATTGTAATGACACCAAAAAACGAAATTTGATGGAAAACTGACGGAATTATGCCCTCGCGAAGTTAGCGACCTCGGCGCTGTTTACAAATCAGCGAGTTCGCCCACTTTGAGCCCTATTTTCGGCTAATTCCATTGTTCCAGTCGCCCAAACTCATAGCTATTTCTTTAGAACTCCATTTTTTCTATCGATTGAGTACAAGAAACTGCCCATTTACTGACTTCAACTACCTAATAATGTGGTCAGAAATTTGCAATTTGGCCAATTTCACAAAAACTAAAAAATATGACAATTTCAAAATAAGGTCCAGAATGAACAATGCAGACATTCCTGGCTCTAAAATAACATTTTCTTTGCTCATCAGTCATGTCTCCAGGCCCCTCTGATATTACTCTTGCTTTCTATTTTGAATTTTTATTCAAACAAAAAATAGAAGACTTACTATTATGCAGACTACTGCCATACTGTAATAATTGTATAAATAACATCAACCTATTCATGACTGCATATTACAATGGCTAGTTGGACATTTATTGGACAATGGCATCATTTGTGTACTTTTGAACATTGGCAAAAATCAAACATTTCCCCTACTTTGAGCTCCATTTCTAGGTTCTTTTTATAGTAAAATCAATCAAAATCACCTCTATCTCTATAATATGTTTTCCATTCTGTCAAATGAGACCAAGAAAACGAGAATACAACCATAAATACTATACGAAAATAGACCACAAAGTCGGCATTTTAATTAAAAAAAACGGTCGGAGTTTTTTTTTTCTCATTATGCACTGCGTGCTCCAGGATTTTTTTTATATGGTGCACACTGACCACACAGACCCATTCTCTCATATGTGGGCCTACCAGCTTTCTCCTGCTTGATTTGAAGCCGCTAGAATTTATGAGTATATATACGTCAAACACGGTACCTCGTAAGACGTATATATACGGCCGCGACAGTCAAAGGGTTAAAATCAAAATATGCAAGGATCTACAGCTTTTCATTAATACAGTGGTCTTCAATTATACCCATTCTTTATTTATTCAGACTTCCTAGGGGCATACAGATGTTACAGACCCTTAAAAAGTAAATTTTTTTTTTTTCAAGTCGGCCGTCTCCCACCGAGGCAGGGTGACCCAAAGAGAAAGAAAATCCCCAAACAGAAAATACTTTCATTATCATTCAACACTTTCACCTCACTCACACATAATCATTGTTTTTGCAGAGGTGCCCAGAATACAACAGCTTAGAAGTATTTATGTATAAACATACACAATACTACATGTATATCTCTCCAAACTGCCAATATCCCAAAGCCCTCCTTTAAAGTGCAGGCATTGTACTTCCCATTTCCAGGACTCAAGTCCAGTTATATAAAATAACCGGTTTCCCTGAATCCCTTCACTAAATATTACCCTGCTCACACTCCAACAGATCGTCAGGTCCCAAATACCATTTGTCTCCATTCACTCATATCTAACACGCTCACGCACGCTTGCTGGAAGTCCAAACCCCTCACCCACAACACCTCCTTTACCCCCTCCCTCCAACCTTTTCGAGGACGACCCCTACCCCGCCTTCCTTCCCCTACAGATTTATACACTCTCCATGTCATTCTACTTTGATCCATTCTCTCTAAATGACCAAACCACCTCAACAAACCCTCTTCAGCCCTCTGACTAATACTTTTATTAACTCCACACCTTCTCCTAATTTCCACACTCCGAATTTTCTGCATATTTACACCACACATTGCTCTTAGACAAGAGTCATGCAGCGCTGCGTGGCAGAAAATAGTGCCGGGGCTATAAGCAGCTAGGTAGAGAGGGGATCAGAGGTAAGGGTAAAAAAGGGCTGAAAAGGACACTAAGGGCTATGTGTCAAAGTTTTTATCGTAAAGCAATTGCTGATAAAAAGTCAAAAAGTGATCATAAGTCAAAGGCAGAGCCATCTGAAAGAAGGGACAATAAGGTAAGAGTGATAGGGCGGTGGTGTCGGAGGTAAATCCTGCAATCTCACTGGTAAACTGGACACTCAACAAGAATGTGAAAGTACAATATGTAGATTTAATCTACGATAACTCGTAGTCAAAAAAATGACTGCACATGTAGCTACAAAAAAAAAAAAACATACTGTATTAAGTTCTGGTTGATGATGCATGTTGCCTAACATCAATGGAGAATATTGCTGTGACTCTACTGGCCCGAGATGGATAACCGACTGATAGGCCAAGGTGGATGGCTGCAATTCATGGACTAAGATGGATAGCTACGGTTCTTGGGCTGAAGTTGACAGTTGTCATTTACTGCAGTCCTCAGGTATTCTATCATGTGTCTGCTGTTTTACACAGCTTGCAAATATTGTTCATTAGAAGTACTTTATCCCAAGCAACTTCCACACAGGTTATTGCATCTGTAACATTCAACTTGCCAGAATTTTCATGCTCCAATATCCGAATCATCCATTGATACAAGGAGTTTCTGCATGCATAGCTGCACTTAAAATTTTCATCACTCCTTAATCCAGTGGTTGTATCAGAGATGTATTTGGTGGAAAAACACTATTCACGTTAGCCTTCATCATACAAGAGCTCAGGATAACTATGGGAATTATTAAGTGAGGAGAACCTAGATGTAACTGTCAGTCTAGATGTAACTGTGCAGTTACATCTAGACTGAGTGCTGCAACTAAAGGAATAAAGTCTGAACGACTCAACAAACAATGCCTCATTTATCCACACTATCTGCTTAGACTGTTAAACAGCCATGAAAGGGAAAGATCCCACTCCACATCAAAGTGGTTTTCCTCCTGCTACTCAAGTTTTACACAATTTAAACAGTTATAGAAATGCAAATTAAGGCTGCATGAATTATGAGCATCTACTGTATTGTGTTAACAAAACTCTGCTCAACCCTTTCAAGAGATCATAAAAATTTCTTCAAGCTCTTGAAATATAGAGCATAGCTTAGAGTATAGTTGAGGTTGACTCATATTAATGCAGCACTAGCACTGGCCCTACCCTTGCTGAGCCCATAGTTAAGGAAAATGCTCCGATTATATTTAGGTTCTAATAATTCCTATCCATTATAATTATTGGAAATCTCACAAGAGTCAACAGCAGCACTGTGGTAAGATAGTTAATATAAATAAAGACAAATTACTGCTATAAAAAACATGCACCATTTGCCTTATTCAAACTGTACTGAAGAAATGAGCTTCCCAAGAGAAAACTTCTTAACAATGTCATGTTCATCACTTACCTAATCTAATCTCATGTTTAAATTAAGACCTAATGGTTATACCATCACTGAAAATCATAACGAAAATCTTTGCTGGGTTACATGACCGTAAGAATACTGTGGTAATTAAGATTATTTAGCACTAAGCTGAAACGATTATAATGGCAAAACGGCAACTTATAGTATATACCAGAGCTGACAATCATGGTGGCTTACTCTCAATATGTATCATCTAGACTTGCTTAACCATGTGAAATGGGGTGAATTAATCACAATAAGTGCACTAAAATTATGAAAATTTTCCACAGTAATAAGCAGTTTTAGATTCATTATTTAGTTTACAAATAGTTTGTCAGATGAGGCCTATACCTTAACTCATTTTCTAACAAATTCCAAGGAATATGATGCATGACCATTATCCTAACTAATATCTGTAACACTCAATTTCAAGAAATAGCTGAACATGTACCCATCACTTTACTACTCTACCACTCCACTTTGTACTCTACACTCCGTCAAGAATACCCTTATTCATTCTCTCCAATTACACATGGCTTTGGTGCTAAAAATATTTTTTTTTAGTACAGAACTCAGAAAACTTTGCAGAACCTACATTTGTTCACAGCACCCCGTATCATATAACAGTGGCAAACCAGAATGAAATTATAATTGACATTTTGAGGTTCATTAATGTCTATGATTAAGCAATTGTATAAATAGTCCTTAGATCTTAATATAATTGTGACCCAGTGGTACCTTAAGTAAAAAAGAAATAAGAATGCCTATATTTATAGCTTAAAAAATAAAGTACACGGTACCTGTAATACACGCTATTCTACCTATTTGAGGACCAAATTAGTATGAATATTGAACTAGGTTATTTCATTACAATTTTAACTGGTTTGTCCATTAGCAATGCAGCTAGCAGTAGATTAAATTGCACTTATTAGGAACAGTTACAAATATCACTGGCATAAAAATAATGAAGAATCATGCACTTTCATCCTATTACATGCAAAACTACCATCACAATAACATTTTAGGCATGTAATATATTTCTTCTACTGAAGGAGTTTTTAAGTTAAATATACACTATAATGTACTACATGATAGTCCTACATGAAATATGATATGCATTAATTATAGAGTATCACTTTTTATGTCATCACATGAAATTTTTAACTGTATGGACTATTACAGCATTTTTCATTATTATTGGAGAGGAAGCAATAATTCACCCATCACTATGACTTCTTGTGTGACCAAAGAGGATCCAGGCCACTGAATGGATCAGTTGGATCATCAGTCTTTTGCAAAGTCCCACTTGGATTTTCAAAACTATCCTTGGTTATTTTACATGACTTTCCTGGTGCTGGAGGGTCCAGTTTGAATTGCTGTGGATCCATACTAGCTGCTAGGCTTGGAGGAAGTGATGAAAAATTTGCATCTAAAATTCCACTTGTCTTAACTGGCTGACTACCTGAGCTAACTTCCAAGGCACCACTTCCAGAATTAACATCAATATCAGTTTCTTGGCCCACACCACTGGAGGCCCCTGATGAAGCTATCGAGGATGCAGAGTCCTTATCCAAGTCTTTCTGTCCATCCTTCAAGTGCTCCACACCAGCAGAGGATCCATTACTCAGCAAAGCAGCAGCAGAATTACTGCACAAACGTTCATCCTCGCTTCCAGATCTACCACCTTCCTGGTCTGAGAGATTAAACAAAATCAATTATAATTAAATTACAAAAGCAGAATTTTTTTTTTCAATTTACACTGTACACTACTTTTATATACTTGCTAGATATAAGGTAATTATAAAGTTACTCTACATTATGTCCAAATAATGTGGTCCAGAATCACAAAGCACATCAATGCCACACTTCACATAATCTGTGTAGCTAAATTAGATTTTTCCTTGTTTACTGTTTATGTACCCATATTCACATACAGCTGTCCATTGAGCTGCGATATTATTCTGTTCCAGAAGATGTACCTCAAAATTATCATAACTCAAAAATACATGGTTTTATGGTAATTCTTTCGAAGACTTTGGAAGTGCAACTTTTACTGTACCTTGCATGTACACACTCACAGATATAACTTGCAAGCACTGTATCTCCCTTCATCTGCTTTTCACTTATCCAAAATAACAGGCTTTCCATGTCTATGATAATTTCCCTGCCTTTTTTCACTAGTCTAGATTCATCAGCCACTTTAATATCCTATATAACATCTTTTTGCTTGATTGTAGAAGAGATGGTTGATTTGTGGAATGCCATACTCACACACCAATGCACTAATTCTAATTCCTGCATCATGTTTCTCCCAATTTCTTGTTTGATCTTCAGAGAAATTGGTTGTTTACTGCACACTTTAGGGGCATGATGACTTTAGAGCACAAAAGATGGCATAGTTAAATCATAAATATGTATCATCTCCAATTTTCCACCGTACTTCAAAATTAAATTCGTTTATGAGGGTGAATCGTAACTCTACATTATTTAACTCCAGGCCATCATAACTCAAAAGACCACTGTATCTATCATAGTTATCTCAACTTGCAGGTGAAAGGAGACAGATAATTTTTTTTTCCCTTTGACAGCCATCTCCCACCAAGGAAGGGTGATCCCAAAAGAAAACACATTCAACATCATTCCTTCGACTGCTGTTTTTCCATAGTGTATTGACATCACAATTCAGATCACCCTCTGATTTCAACATCCACATCCCTTCTTCAGAGTGTAGGCACTGCCCTTCTTATCTTCATTACTCAAATCCAGCTAACCTATTTCCCTGAATCCATTCATAAAGGTTACCTTGCTCACACACTAACAACAAACCATTAAAATCTATTCTTCCCTATTCTCTCTTTATCTAACACACTCAAACATGTCTGCAATATACAACCATTATATACATATACAGTGGACCCCCGGTTAACGATTTTAATCCGTGCAAGAGGGCTCATCGTTATGCGAAATAATCGTTATGCGAATGAATTTTCCCCATAAGAAATAATGGAAATAAAATTAATCCGTGCAAGACGCCCAAAAGTATGAAAAAAATTTTTTTTTACCACATGAAATGTTAATTTTAATACACACAAACTGAAAAAGGCATGCACAATTACATGACACTTACTTTTATTGAAGATCTGGTGATGATTGATGGGATGGGAGGAGGGGAGAGCATTATCTTCTTACTGTTAGAAGGGGATCCCCTTCCATTAGGACTTGAGGTAGCAAGTCCTTTTCTGGGGTTACTTTCCCTTCTTCTTTTAATGCCACTAGGACCAGCTTGAGAGTCACTGGACCTCTGTCGCACAACAAATCTGTCCATAGAGCTCTGTACCTCCCGTTCCTTCAAGACTTTCCTAAAATGGGCCATAACATTGTCATTGAAATAGTCACCAGCACGGCTTGCAACAGCTGTGTCAGGGTGATTTTCATCTATAAAGGTTTGCAGTTCAACCCACTGTGCACACATTTCCTTAATCTTTGAAGTAGGCACAATGGATCCACAACTGGCATAGGCTTCTCAGGGTTAGCCCCAAACCCTTCAAAATCTTTCTTAATTTCCATACTAATTCTCACCCTTTTTACCACAGGGTTGGCACTAGAAGCTTTCTTGGGGCCCATGGTCACTTATTTTCCAGAAACAGCACCGAAAACACTGTAATAATACGAAATATTCCGAGTGTATGCTTGGATGTTACCGCGGAGGCTGGCTGGTAAACAATGGGACGGCCGGCACATGTGAGGGCACATTGGACGCGTCTCGGACGAAAATCGGTAAGCGGGTTTTTAATCGGTATGCGCGGCAAAAATTTTGCGATAAAAGTAATCGTTATGCGGAAAAATCGCTATGTGATGCCATCGTTATGCGGGGGTCCACTGTATATAAAGGCAAAGGGGATAAAAGAGAGTGCAAAAATTATAGGGGGATAAGTCTGCTGAGTATACCTGGTAAAGTGTATGGTAGAGGTATTATTGAAAGAATTAAGAGTAAGACGGAGAATAGGATAGCAGATGAACAAGGAGGCTTTAGGAAAGGTAGGGGGTGTGTGGACCAGGTGTTTACAGTGAAACATATAAGTGAACAGTATTTAGATAAGGCTAAAGAGGTCTTTGTGGCATTTATGGATTTGGAAAAGGCGTATGACAGGGTGGATAGGGGGGCAATGTGGCAGATGTTGCAAGTGTATGGTGTAGGAGGTAGGTTACTGAAAGCAGTGAAGAGTTTTTACGAGGATAGTGAGGCTCAAGTTAGAGTATGTAGGAAAGAGAGAATTATTTCCCAGTAAAAGTAGGCCTTAGACAAGGATGTGTGATGTCACCGTGGTTGTTTAATATATTTATAGATGGGGTTGTAAGAGAAGTAAATGCGAGGGTCTTGGCAAGAGGCGTGGAGTTAAAAGATAAAGAATCACACACAAAGTGGGAGTTGTCACAGCTGCTCTTTGCTGATGACACTGTGCTCTTGGGAGATTCTGAAGAGAAGTTGCAGAGATTGGTGGATGAATTTGGTAGGGTGTGCAAAAGAAGAAAATTAAAGGTGAATACAGGAAAGAGTAAGGTTATGAGGATAACAAAAAGATTAGGTGATGAAAGATTGAATATCAGATTGGAGGGAGAGAGTATGGAGGAGGTGAATGTATTCAGATATTTGGGAGTGGACGTGTCAGCGGATGGGTCTATGAAAGATGAGGTGAATCATAGAATTGATGAGGGGAAAAGAGTGAGTGGTGCCTTAGGAGTCTGTGGAGACAAAGAACTTTGTCCTTGGAGGCAAAGAGGGGAATGTATGAGAGTATAGTTTTACCAACGCTCTTATATGGGTGTGAAGCATGGGTGATGAATGTTGCAGCGAGGAGAAGGCTGGAGGCAGTGGAGATGTCATGTCTGAGAGCAATGTGTGGTGTGAATATAATGCAGAGAATTCGTAGTTGGAAGTTAGGAGGAGGTGCGGGATTACCAAAACTGTTGTCCAGAGGGCTGAGGAAGGGTTGTTGAAGTGGTTCGGACATGTAGAGAGAATGGAGCGAAACAGAAGGCCTTCAAGAGTGTATCAGTCTGTAGTGGAAGGAAGGCGGGGTAGGGGTCGGCCTAGGAAAGGTTGGAGAGAGGGGGTAAAGGAGGTTTTGTGTGCGAGGGGCTTGGACTTCCAGCAGGCATGCGTGAGCATGTTTGATAGGAGTGAATGGAGACAAATGGTTTTTAATACTTGACGTGCTGTTGGAGTGTGAGCAAAGTAACATTTATGAAGGGGTTCAGGGAAACCGGCAGGCCGGACTTGAGTCCTGGAGATGGGAAGTACAGTGCGTGCACTCTGAAGGAGGGGTGTTAATGTTGCAGTTTAAAAACTGTAGTGTAAAGCACCCTTCTGGCAAGACAGTGATGGAGTGAATGATGGTGAAAGTTTTTCTTTTTCGGGCCACCCTGCCTTGGTGGGAATCGGCCAGTGTGATAATAATAATAATAAAATAAATACTATATACAGTGTACCCCCGATTAACGATATTTTTTCATTCTAGAAGTATGTTCAGGTGCCAGTACTGACCGAATTTGTTCCCATAAGGAATATTGTGAAGTAGATTAGTCCATTTCAGACCCCCACACATAAACGTACAAACGCACTTATATAAATACACTTACATAATTGGTCGCATTGGGAGGTGATCGTTAAGCGGGGGTCCACTGTGTATGTATGTATGTATGTATGTATGTATGTATGTATGTATATATATATATATATATTATATATATATGTGTATATATATAATATATATATATATATTATATATATATATATATATATATATACATATATATATATATTATATATATATATATTATATATATATATATATATATATATATATATTATATATTATATATATATATATATATATATATATATATATTATATATATATATATTTTTTTTTTTTTTTTTCAACAAGTCGGTCGTGTGTGTAGATCAAGTGTTTACATTGAAGCATATATGTGAACAGTATTTAGATAAAGGTGGGGAAGTTTTTATTGCATTTATGGATTTAGAAAAGGCATATGATAGAGTGGATAGAGGAGCAATGTGGCAGATGTTGCAAGTTTATGGAATAGGTGGTAAGTTACTAAATGCTGTAAAGAGCTTTTATGAGGATAGTGAGGCTCAGGTTAGGGTGTGTAGAAGAGAGGGAGAATACTTCCCGGTAAAAGTAGGTCTTAGACAGGGATGTGTAATGTCACCATGGTTGTTTAATATATTTATAGATGGGTTTGTAAAAGAAGTAAATGCTAGGGTGTTTGGGAGAGGGGTGGGATTAAATTATGGGGAATCAAATTCAAAATGGGAATTGACACAGTTACTTTTTGCTGATGATACTGTGCTTATGGGAGATTCTAAAGAAAAATTGCAAAGGTTAGTGGATGAGTTTGAGAATGTGTGTAAAGGTAGAAAGTTGAAAATGAACATAGAAAAGAGTAAGGTGATGAGGGTATCAAATGATTTAGATAAAGAAAAATTGGATATCAAATTGGGGAGGAGGAGTATGGAAGAAGTGAATGTTTTCAGATACTTGGGAGTTGACGTGTCGGCGGATGGATTTATGAAGGATGAGCTTAATCATAGAATTGATGAGGGAAAAAAAGGTGAGTGGTGCGTTGAGGTATATGTGGAGTCAAAAAACGTTATCTATGGAGGCAAAGAAGGGAATGTATGAAAGTATAGTAGTACCAACACTCTTATATGGATGTGAAGCTTGGGTGGTAAATGCAGCAGCGAGGAGACAGTTGGAGGCAGTGGAGATGTCCTGTCTAAGGGCAATGTGTGGTGTAAATATTATGCAGAAATTCGGAGTGTGGAAATTAGGAGAAGGTGTGGAGTTAATAAAAGCATTAGTCAGAGGGCAGAAGAGGGGTTGTTGAGGTGGTTTGGTCATTTAGAGAGAATGGATTAAAGTAGAATGACATGGAAAGCATATAAATCTATAGGGGAAGGAAAGAGGGGTAGGGGTCGTCCTCGAAAGGGTTGGAAAGAGGGGGTAAAGGAGGTTTTGTGGGCGAGGGGCTTGGACTTCCAGCAAGCGTGCATGAGCGTGTTAGGAGGAGGTTTTGTGGGTGAGGGGCTTGGACTTCCAGCAAGCGTGCATGAGCGTGTTAGGAGGAGGTTTTGTGGGCGAGGGGCTTGGACTTCCAGCAAGCATGCATGAGCGTGTTAGATAGGAGTGAATGGAGACGAATGATACTTGGGACCTGACGATCTGTTGGAGTGTGAGCAGGGTAATATTTAGTGAAGGGATTCAGGGAAACCGGTCATTTTCTTATAGTCGGACTTGAGTCCTGGAAATGGGAAGTACAATGCCTGCACTTTAAAGGAGGGGTTTGGGATATTGGCAGTTTGGAGGGATATGTTGTGTATCTTTATACGTATATGCTTCTAAGCTGTTGTATTCTGAGCACCTCTGCAAAAGCAGTGATAATGTGTGAGTGTGGTGAAAGTGTTGAATGATGATGAAAGTATTTTCTTTTTGGGGATTTTCTTTCTTTTTTGGGTCACCCTGCCTCGGTGGGAGACGACCAACTTGTTGAAAAAAAAAAAGAAAAAAAAAAAAAAAAAAAAATAATAATACAAAATGAGTACATTTCTAAAAGCAAGCATTCTCAAACGTACCTAGTCCAAGCTTGCTCTTAAGGCGGGACAAGTCATACGAGGACAGCAGATCGGCAGAGGGATGCCGCACATGGGTTTTCTCTCGAGGGCCTTCCTCAAATGTAGCCTTATTGGTCAGGATTCCTCCTACAAATGAGATACTTCTACAACTAAAATACATAGAGAAAATACTTCCACTAAATAAAAACTTTGCAAAGAAAAGACAATATGAAGATTAAGTTTTTATTGTGACAATGTGGCTTTTTTTTTTATTCAACAAGTCGGCTGTCTCCCACTTAGGAAGGATGACCCAAAAAGAAAGAAAATTCCCAAAATTTTATCAAGTCAATAGCGTGAAACTTTTTCACAAAGCTTGTTCTGTACCTCTATTTTCTTCGTTACTGCCATCAGTATGCCTTTGTAGCCATTGAGAACCTGTTCTCTAAACAAGAATTAAAAACTGACACTTAAGTCTCGTCAAAATTTAATACACTGAGTAACAGAGTGGCAGACAACCCATACACTAAGTCAATTAGATTTGAAACAGAAAAAATATTCATTTATTATTTGTCATTTAACACTTAAACTGTGGGATACACAGAAAATAAATTTCCTGTGTACATGGCAAGATTTTGTAGGTAGTAGGTTGGTAGACAGCAACCACCCAGAGAGGTACTACCGTCCTGCCAAGTAAGTGGAAAACAAAAGCCTGTAATTGTTTTACATGATGGTGGGATTGCTGGTGTCCTTTTTTGTCTCAAACATGCAAGATTTCAGGTACGTCTTGCTACTTCTACTTACACTTAGGTCACACTACACATACATGTACAAGCATATATATATACGCACCCCTCTGGGTTTTCTGCTATTTTCTTCCTAGTTCTTGTTCTTGTTTATTTCCTCTTATCTCCATGGGGAAGTGGAACAGAATTCTTCCTCCATAAGCCATGTGTGTTGTAAGAGGCGACTAAAATGCTGGGACCAAGGGGCTAGTAACCCCTTCTCCTGTATATATTACTAAATGTAAAAGGAGAAACTTTCATTTTTCCTTTTGGGCCACCCCACCTCGGTGGGATACGGCTGGTGTGTTGAAAGAAAGAAAAGAAAAATGGCAAGATTTTGAAGAAAAAATCTTACAGATTGAGAGAGTGCATTTTTTGAATCGGCTAAGAAAATAAGTGGAATCTGATAAAAACCTGCTATTTTATGGCGTGCTGGCAAAAAAATGATCATTCATCAGGAACAGTGGCGTAAATATATCAGCTATATTTACATTTTACAATTTATTGATGCCAAATTATAACTTCCTCAGTTTTTTATTGTTTTTAATGTTTAACACTATGTACACTAATTTTTCTTATAATAGATGAATTTTTGTATATCATGCATGGAGAAATGATTAGTCCAACATTGCTTCACTTGGAATACACAGTTATCCTAGGTTAAATAAAAAATGCACTTTTTGACTGAATTCTGATAGTATCATGAAAATTGTAATATATATGGAATGAAATAAGTATCTTCCTGCCAGTTTCACATCCTGTTTGCTGGTAGGGAAGCTGATGGGGAACAACAGCTCCTGATTTTACTGTTCACTTTTGCTAGTTAGGCAGTGTTAATCTATAATGCACTGTGTGGACCTGACTGGTCTTATATTTTTTTTAAAGGCATTAAAAGAGTGTAGGAGACCCAAACAGTTGTGATGAGGTTAAAAATATAGTGAGGTGTCATTTTTGAAGCCAAGAAACTCTGTGCATACTAGTACATCAGACAGTGTCAACACTTGTGTACTAGCATGTTGGACACAGCAAAAGGGTTAAATGACAAACTGAAATAAAAAAAAACTAGACCATTAAATATTTCATGGTGGGAGAAATGCAGAAATCTAAATATAATGGATTAAATTACAGTACAGTACTTTTAGCTTAAAAACTACAGTTGAAACAAAGAACCAGACCAAGATGCAAACAAGTTTTAGGGTATGTTGACAATTAATTTGGTTCACTCTCTGTTAAGAGCTGGGAAAGCAAGCAGAACATCTCATCCTCTTCCTGTTCAGTAAATTAAAACATCTTCACACATGAAGTAAAATATTTAAAATCATTAGGAAATATTAGTACTTTTACATCATTCATCAATTGAAAAATAATAAAAGTATAGTTTTTATAATTACAAAACCATCAGTATTCAGCAAATCATCACTTATCCTGTTCGATGTCTCATCTGTAGATCTACATTATTGATGCTAGGGTTGCTTACATAGCTCTGTCTTGAGCACAGCTCCCACAGATAATATGTAAACAATAAATTTTGGGTGTATACATGAGAGAATGGTTTTGTGTGGCAAATATGCACAGTATAAAAAAAAATCCTGCCCCACGTGGAGAATTATGGAAAAAGCAAAACTCTGACTATGTTTGGTTTAAAAAGAGCAACTTTGAGGTGTTTTCTAAGATGGTTTGCATAGTTTATTGGCTGATTCTTGGTATCATTTGATAGAATGAAAGATATACTACTGAAATAGACATGACTTTGGTTGGTTTTAGGACCAGAAGTATAATGTATACAACAGTCATGCTTGATATTACTGGGTACCTTTTTTGTTATTTAAGCTTAGTGTGCAGAACAACCGTGATAAGAATAGTGAATTTCCAAACACTCATGATCTCTCGCATTCTATCAAGGAACATTATCATTTTCTTAATAATGTGAGAAATCACAAAAGTGCTTGGAAGTTCACTATTCTTTCCACAGTAATTGTTCTGCATATTGTGATATCATCTGTTTACTGTGATCTGATTGCATCAAGCTTAACAGTGTGTACATACGTTTCATCAGCACATCTTGGGCATAGTAGAGTGCTGCTGAGAAGAGGAAATGGAGATGCTCTTTATCTTGGACTCCACCCCGTCGCTGTCTGCTTAGCTCTACAACCAGTGATGTCAAATCTAGCAAGCTGCCACCTGCAATATCTCAAAAAATTGAAGCAGACCACAAAGTAGTGGTAAAGCATACATATGCAGCTTTTAACAAGCCAACCAGCAACCTAATGATCAAGCCTCCACTGCTCCATGCACTGAATGACCTACACAAGTTCATGCTTTACATTTTTTTTTATTTTTTATCACATTAGCTGTGTCCCACCAAGATAAGGTAACCTGAAAAATTAAACACATTCACCATCATTCAGTGAGTGAACATCACAATTCAAATGACTCTCCTAGCTGCAACATCTCCACCCCTCTGTCAGCATGTAAGCGTGTTATCCACTGCCAGGACTTAGGAGAGGCCAATCAGTTTCCCTACATCCCTTCATAACTGTTGCCTTGTTCACACTCCAGAAGTATGTCAAATCCTCACAAAACTTGTTCCAATTCTGATTTAATACAATCACACATGCCTTACTTCCAACCCTTCCTGGGATGACCCCTACTGTCTTCCTTCTACCCCAAATATATACACCTTGGTCATCCTATTCTGCTCCATCCCTTCTAAATAACCAAACCACCATTACCCTTCCTCTACCCCTCTGAATTATACTTTTAGTAACCCCACATTATCTTCTAATTCCTACACTTATAATTCTTTGCATAATATTAATATGACATATTGATCTCAAAAATTACAACTATGCCTTCAGCCTTTTCCTTGCTGCGACATTTAAAGATCATGTCTCTCACCCATATAAACATGTTGGCACCACTAGGTGCTGGGAAAATTTTCTGACTAAACCCTAGTATATTCCCTTCTTTGACTCCACAGAGAAACTTTCCTTTCCAAACCTCTTAACACACTCCACCTACCTCCTCCTCCCTCATCTATTCTATGGTTCAGCACATCTTTAATAGATCCATCTGCAGACACATCCACTCTTGAATGCCTAAATACATTCACTTCATACAATCAATATGTAAATTCTCATTGCTATTTTCTTTCTGTTTAATTCCTTCTTTTAAATACTCTTCCAAACTACTACTCCAATGTTTGGAGTGTCTTCAGAATCTACCAAAAATGCTATCTTCAGCAAACAACAACTGTGGCAACTCCCACTTCATGTCAAGATTCATTATATTTTAATCCCACACCTTTCTCTCTCTCTCCCCCCCCCCCAGTACCCTACCATTTACCTCTTTTATCATCCCTTCTATAAGTACATTAAACAATCATTGTGATGTATATTCCTGTTTAAGGTCTACTTTCACTGGAAAAGCCACTTTCTCTTTCTCTCTCTCCTACATACCTTAACCTGAGCCTCAATTTTTGGTAACCTACCTACTAAAGTTTCAATTCCATACAACTCGAACATCAACGTTGCCTTATAACCGTATTATAATATATTAAACAATAATATCCATGAACCCCCATAAATATCTCTATTGATCCAGTACTAGTTTTTTTTTTTTTTTTGCATTTCTTCCACAGAATAAGGATGAGAATACACCAAGTTGGGCAAATAAAACGGACAGAAATATAATAATTCATATATGCACAGATTTTTTTAATTTTATACAGAACCAACATCTAGAACTAAGTAATTTACTCCACCTTACCAAGGGAACTTTCATCAACATTACTTACTAGAATGAATTTCTTTTATAAATGCTGAAAGAACTGTAAGAACCCCAGATCTGCCCAGGCCTGGAACACACTGAATTACAATGGGACGAAGCTTATTTCTCTGCTGTCGCTGGAATGTGTGAACTTCGACCAGAAACTGCAGTAAGAGGCTGGGATTTTCTGGCATGGCACTGTGAATATGCAGTATGTTTTAAAGAAGAAGAAAAAAAAAATACCAATCATAAAACAATACATCTAAGACAAACAAAAGTGCACATTGTAGAATAAAAAATATAAAGTACTGTAACATGTTTATAAGTTAAAAGATTGGATCAAAAATTTTTTGGGAAAAGCTGGCAACTAAGTTAATTCTAACTATATTATTTCCTCAAAACTGTGTTAATACTGAAAATCACAATAAAATTTAACAAACTGACAAGCATATTTGATCCGGAAATCCAGACAAAATATTTGTAAAAGATTGTTATAAACATGCCTGATATTTATTTATTTTTTTTTCCAACAAGTCAGCCGTCTCCCACCAAGGCAGGGTGACCCAAATAGAAAGAAAATCTCCAAAAAGAAAATACTTTCATCATCATTCAACACTTTCACCTCACTCACACATAATCACTGTTTTTGCAGAAGTGCCCAGAATACAACAGTTTAGAAGTATATACATATAAAAATACACAATACAGTGGAACCTCAAATACTGAACTTTCTTCAGTCCAGAAGGCTGTTCGAGTGCCTTTACCGAATGAATTTATTCCCATCAGGAATAATGTAAATTAGATTAGTCCATTTCAGACCCTCAAAAATACACTTATAAAAGCACTTTACACTTACATAATTGGTTGTGTTGGGAGCAGTTCGATTTTTGAGGTTCCACTGTATATCTCTCCAAAATGCCAATATCCCAAACCCCTCCTTTAGAGTGCAGGCATTGTACTTCTCATTTCCAGGACTCATGTCTGGTTATATAAAATAACCGGTTTCCCTGAATCCCTGCTCACACTCCAACAGCTCGTCAGGTCCCAAATACCGTTCGTCTCCATTCACTCCTATCTAACACGCTCACGCACGCTTGCTGGAAGTCCAAACCCCTCGCCCACAACGCCTCCTTTACCCCCTCCCTTCAACCTTTTCGAGGACGACCCCTACCCCGCCTTCCTTCCCCTACAGATTTATACGCTCTTCATGTCATTCTACTTTGATCCATTCTCTCTAAATGACCAAACCACCTTAACAAACCCTCTTCAGCCCTCTGACTAATACTTTTATTAACTCCACACCTTCTCCTAATTTCCACACTCCGAATTTTCTGCATAATATTTACACCACACATTGCCCTTAGACAAGACATTTCCACTGCCTCCAACTGCCTCCTCGCTGCAGCATTTACAACCCAAGCTTCACACCCATTTAAGAGTGTTGGTACTACTATACTTTCATACATTCCCTTCTTTGCCTCCATAGATAACATTTTTTGCCTCCACATATACTTCAATGCACCACTCACCTTTTTTCCTTCATCAATTCTATGATTAACCTCATCCTTCATAAATCCATCCACTGACACGTCAACTCCCAAATATCTGAAAACATTCACTTCTTCCATACTCCTCCTTCCCAATTTGATATCCAATTTTTCTTTATCTAAATCATTTGGTATTTATTTATCCTTACATAAAAAAAATTAATTGTTAATACAGTCAGAAAAAAAGTCAAATATAAAAATATCACTACTGTTACTAGGATGGAATGTTCATTCCTCTTCCTCTTTACGAGTCAATTGATTTTCCAATGCTCCACATTTTTGCATTTGACCTTATAACACCTTTTACAGTATGAAGCAAAGTTACCAAAGTGCTAGGCACTTGAAGTAGCTACAGAAAAAAAACAGACTGTAAACTTGGATACTGAAAGGGATGACAGTTAAAAGGGCATAGCCAGGGCAGTGAAATTTGGTATCATCCCATCCCTAGCAAATCTACTAAATATGTATAGTCATAGAAACTAAAATGTAAGGGAGTCAAGCAGGCAGACCAATTCTATAAAAGAATTTTCATCTATAAAATAATTTTCATCAGTGTCTCAGTTGGCAAAAGAAATTATTACAGAAAATTTTCTCACCTGGGCGGCCACCCTAAGAACTGAAGATGAATGATTACACGAGTTACTTTGGAAGTGCGATGCGTAACATGAAGGACTCGTTGCAAGGACACAGGAGAGCCAGCCTGACGACAGCTATGCAACACAACAGTGAAATGACCATAGTCTACACTGGATGCTGTCTCACTTGGCAAATAAACTTGGCCTTTCACCTACCAAATCATTAAAAATATTAGTAAAAGGCACATTAATGGAAGTAAATAAGCATGTTAGACTGCAGTAAATAGAGATAAGTGGTTTTTAATGGATGTGCTGTTAAAAAACAAGCAAGGTAACTTTTACAAAGGGATCTGAAAAACTGGTTAGTTGACTTAACTTCTAGAGGTGGGAAGGGCAACTAATGCTTACACTCTAAAGAAGAGGTATGGAATATGCAATCGGAGGGTAATCTAATTGTGGTGTCAGCACACTCTGGAAAGATGGTAAATGAATGAATGATGGTGAATGTCTTTCTTCAAGTTACCCTGCCTTGGCAGGAGATCACCGTTGGAAAATGAAGACAAATCCAACTGTGGTACTACCTCTTAAGTGTTCATCAGTAATTAAAGATGCTCCTTGCTTTATAAATGGTTTGATTTATGATATTTTGACATTATGATGGTGTACTGTACAGTACTGTACATTTATTGATAGGATAAACTTGAATTTATTTATTTTACAGTACAGTGGAACCTCGGTTTTCACATGCCCTGGTTTTTGTAGGATTCAGTTTTCGACGACTTTTTTTGACGAAATTTTGTCCCAGTTTTCGTACATTCACTTGGTTTTCGTAGAGTTGACAATGGTCCGCCGTACCAAATGTGTCCACCTGCCCATACCCACACAACGCATCCCAAGCATTCTGATTCAGTCTTGCTCTGTTTCTGGTTGAGTGAGCATTACCCCGCGTGTTCATCTGAAACATTTCGTAATAATCCATTGTTTTTTGTGCTTGTTTGTTGAGTGCGACTATTAAATAAGCCACCATGGGGCCAAAGAAAGTTTCGAGTGCCAACCCATTGATAAAGAAGGAGAGAAACACGATAGAATTCAAGAAAACTAATAGCAAAGTATGAAAGTGGCATACGTGTAGCCAATCTTGCCAGTAAAAGACAAAAAAGGAAAGTAACCCTGAATAGAGCCTTGATACCTGAAGTCCTTATGGAGGGGGATTACCCTTCCAAACAATAACCTCTCCTTTTCCTCCTCCTCCTCCTCCTCACCGTCTTCCATACACCAACAAAAGTCTTTAATAAAAGTGATGTTAAATGTTCATTTATCCATTTCATTAGTCATTTATATTTCTCATTGTTTTCTGTATGTAAAACTATAGTTATTCTCTATAAAATACATTTTTTGTTAATATTTTTAGGTGTCTGGAACAGATTAATTGGATTTATGTCATTTCTTATGGGAAATATTGCTTCAGTTTTCGTACAATTCGGTTTTCATCAGACTTTCTGGAATGAATTAATCACGAAAACCAAGGTTCTGCTGTACTGATATTTATGTTAGTTACAGTAATTGTTTACTTATTCAGTGACAGTAGTTATTTATGTATCATATTTATACTCGACTTACGACATTTTTGACTTACAATGGGTTCGTCGGAACATAACCACATTGAAATTAAGAAGCATCTACTGGTGAATTAAAATTAAATTTTGATTTAACACGTAAAGACACTTGACATTCTTTCTTAGTGGCAAACTGACATTTTATTTATGTTAATTTTTCAAGTACACTGAGTATTTTTTCAAATGTTCACACAAAAACCCACTTTTAAAGTTATGCGACTGAGGCTTGTGATGCATTCAATGTCAGTAAGCCATGTTAAGAAATTTCTGTGTGAAAGAGAAGCCTGTTAAATGTTTTGGGGTCTTCTATGACTGCTGGTAATTTCTTTCTCCTCAACACACATGAAAATCCTACATCATCTTATACTTATCTCTACATTCCCGAGTTTTTTCATAGTTCTTTGCCCTGTAACATTTCCTTTCCAATTTAGAAGGCTTAGTCTGAGACCAAGTCATAGGGTAATGAGCCCTGGAATCATTAACATATATAACCCAGTATTCCCACCAAACATCAATCAAACCATACATCTATCAATGGGAGGAGTAATATTTCTAATTCAAAGTGAGTAAATTTTACCTCTGCATCTGAGTTGAGGCAAACGATAATTTCCACCTGCTGTTCCCAGATCATAGTCCAAAAATCAACACATGTAGCAGACATTGGTGCCTGTGTTAGGATCAATGGAAAGCTCTCCTCTGTTGACCTAAGCTGAAAGTAATAAGGTAATATAAATTATGATGAACACTTCTCCATTACATACAAGGCATTGCACAGCAGAAAGGAATAGATGCCAAAACCCAAACAGTGTAAGAAAATGCAGACATCAGGAAGATCAGAGCTATGGAAAGGTTCACTTTACCATACTTTGTTATAGGGTTCTGAGCCTAACTTACAAGATGCAGAAGACAAAGTCTATACATTACCACAAACAAACAAAATATTAAGGAATTTATTTGTTCACTAATCCAAATTTTGACCATAGTGGTGCTTGTTCTTTTCTGGCATGCAATGCCTTATGCAGTAAATAAATTCTGCTGAACAGCTCATCTAAATAAATAGATACACAAATCTAATCTTTAATTCATAGAATGATAAAAGTTCTCTAGCATAATTTTTTTACCATGTCAATATTTAGTGAATGCTTTATGTTGATAACCCAGAACACTTTCTTAGTGAAAATTATCCATAAGATACACATAAAAGGGGTAAAAGAGGGTTTGTGTGCATGAGGCTTAGACATACAGCATTCATGTGTGAGCATGTTCGATAGAAGTGAGTGGAAATGAATGGCTTTTGGGACTTCATGAGCTGCTGGAGTGTGAGCAGGGTAATTTGTGAAGGGATTCAGGGAAACTGGTTAGCTGGATTTAAGTCCTGGAGAACTCAAATCCAGCTAACCGGGGTTGGGATATTTGCTGTTTGGAGAGAGAACTGAACTGTCATATCTGCATGCCTCTGCAAAGACAGTGTGAATGATGGTGAAAGCATTTCTTTTTTGAGTTACCCTGCCTCAGTGGAAGACAACTTATGATCCTGATGATCATACTGCCACTCTTGAATATAAACTTTAATATTTCTTCATTATTGTTTTTGTTGTTGCAGTTATAGTTTTGTGGCACCTAGGAATAACCAAATCTAAAATTATCAATAATGAAAAAGGGAGGAGGAGCTGATACCTGATAAACAAATTGTACAAAGTGAAAACAATTACAGCATTATCACCATTACCTTATTTGTGACTACTATACACTGCATTAAAATTACACTCGGCTACTGTTCATATAAACAGCTACTAAAATGTGACCTCAAAGACCAGAAATAACTTAAGTTAAATCTAGGGCTTGAGCATAACAAAAGCCTCCAAACAGATGCATATATTGTGACAATTAATACTCTAAATTTTAATTTGCCCCTGGAATGAGAGATATTTCAAGGAACATGAATGTATGAATACCACAGAGCCTTGCCATGATCAGTTTAGAGGGTTCTTCACAGATCAGCCTGAAAATGCTTTCAGCATAAGACAGAGTTGAAAGAATAAAGAACATGAAAACTAACCTGAACGTGGGATGCATTGATGTAGTCATCCCTGGCGGATGGAAGTGTAACTCTAGTGTGGTCATATGGAAGAATATCAGCAAATCTGTTCTTCAATGGATAGCACCGAGCAACTGATACTTTCAGTTCACCACATTCTTTCTCCTGTAATTACCATTGCAAATTCAAATATAACTTCTATAAAAGGTGCATGATGCCACCATGATTATTTAACATTTATAGATGGGAGTTTAAAAGAAGTGAATGCTATGGTGTAGAGGAGGTGAGAGAACAGTTGCAAAGGTTGGTTTGTTATGTAAAAGAAAAAAATTAAAAGTGAACATAGGGCAGAGCAAGGCAATGAGAATAAAAACAAAATCTTAAAGAAAGATTGAACATTATTAGACTGGAGGGAGCATGGAAGAAGCAAACGTACTCAGATATATGTGAGTGGACCTGTCAGGCCTAGGTAGTAGGTTGGTAGACAGCAACCGCCCAGGGAGGTACTACCGTCCTGCCAAGTGAGTGTAAAACGAAAGCCTGTAATTGTTTTACATGATGGTAGGATTGCTGGTGTCCTTTTTTCTGTCTCATGAACATGCAAGATTTCAGGTCCGTCTTGCTACTTCTACTTACACTTAGGTCACACTACACATACATGTACAAGCACATATATACACACCCCTCTGGGTTTTCTTCTATTTTCTTTCTAGTTCTTATTCTTGTTTATTTCCTCTTATCTCCATGGGGAAGTGGAACAGAATTCTTCCTCCGTAAGCCATGCGTGTGTAAGAGGCGACTAAAATGCCGGGAGCAAGGGGCTAGTAACCTCTTCTCCTGTATATATTACTAAATGTAAAAGGAGAAACTTTCGTTTTTCCTTTTGGGCCACCCCGCCTCGGTGGGATACGGCCGGTGTGTTGAAAGAAAGAAAGGACCTGTCAGAATGTGGGTCTATGAAAGATGAGGTGAACCACAGAACAGATAAAGGCAAGAAGGTGGGTGGTGCATCTGAAGACAAAGAACTTATCGACGGAAGCAAATAAAGACAGTGTGCTAGAATATAGTGGTACCAACACTGTTATAGAAGCGTAAAGCAAAGGTTTCAAATGCTGCAGTGAGGAGGTTAGAGACATGGAGATTAGAAGGTATCAGATTACTAAAAGTATAATTCAGAGGGCTGAGGAAGGGTTGCTGAGGTGGTTTGGGCACTTAGGAAAGGATGAAGCAAAATAGGATAGCTAAAAGGGAATATAAATCTGAGGTGGATGGAAGGAGAGGTAGAAGTCCCAGAAAGGGTTGGAGAAAGGAGGCAAATGAGGCTTTGAATGCTAGGGGCTTGAACATGAAATAGGCTTGTATGAGCTTCTTAGATAGAAATGAGTGGAGACAAATCCCTTTGTATTTTAAGACTTGACATTCTGTTTGAGAGTGAGCAGGGTAACAGTTATAAAGATGTTCAGGAAAACCAGTTACAGACTAAATAACATGGCATACTGATACTGGTTCTATGCATATAGTGGTTGGGCTATAATTTACCTAAGAATAATGTGTAATTATTAAAATAAAAACAGTACACATGAAACTGATCAAGTGGAAATCTAGAATTGTGCCTCATTTCCCTTCTGCCACATACACTACACATGTCCTAAAACAATTTCACGGACTTTTAAATGCAATCCCAAATTTAAATACATGATTAGAACAGACAAACATACCACTACTTCTACTAGCTCCTTCCATTTCAGCTCTAAGTTTGTTGGTCCATTTAGCGATTTGCGATCCAGTCCTTCAACAATCTTACTCAGGCGTTCTGTTTCAACAGCTAATTTTTGAAGTTTTTCATCATCTGAAAGTGGATCTACTACTGTTGGCTTTCGGTTCTGCAAGAAAAAATGAAGTTCTACATCAGATATTCCTGTGCATGGAATACATATAACGACATTTGTTAAGTCAATTGTAAATGCAGCATTTCAGGCATCATGTAAACTAAAAAATAATGCACTAAATACAGTACATGATTACAAAATACATAAAATATGCACAAAACAGCAATAAATGTCACATACTGACACATTTGTTCATAATTATTTATATAATTAAGATACAGTACTACACAATTTACTTCTGACAATTTGGGAAGTCAATGCTAATTATAGTATATTACAATAATCTATAACCGAGATAGGGATTAAAAAAATATAATTTAGGAGACTTAAAACGGTAACTAAGGCTCTGTACAGCAATTGTACTAATTCAAGAAACAGTAGTAATAATGAAGTTACATCACTACCAGTAATTAGGATGATGCAGGTTAGTCAACTGATATTGGTAAGAATTAACAATTTAGTCTCCATTTTAAATTTATTTCCTCACACACCAATGTGTGTTAAAGTCAGTAATTTTTTGTTTCATAACTTTCTTTTTGGGTCACCCTGCTCCGGTGGAAAACGGCTGAGTTAAAAAAAAAAAAATTAATAAGAATTAAGAGTAAGACGGAGAATAGGATAGCAGATGAACAAGGAGGCTTTAGGAAAGGTAGGGGGTGTGTGGACCAGGTGTTTACAGTGAAACATATAAGTGAACAGTATTTAGATAAGGCTAAAGAGGTCTTTGTGGCATTTATGGATTTGGAAAAGGCGTATGACAGGGTGGATAGGGGGGCAATGTGGCAGATGTTGCAAGTGTATGGTGTAGGAGGTAGGTTACTGAAAGCAGTGAAGAGTTTTTACGAGGATAGTGAGGCTCAAGTTAGAGTATGTAGAAAAGAGGGAAATTTTTTCCCAGTAAAAGTAGGCCTTAGACAAGGATGTGTGATGTCACCGTGGTTGTTTAATATATTTATAGATGGGGTTGTAAGAGAAGTAAATGCGAGGGTCTTGGCAAGAGGCGTGGAGTTAAAAGATAAAGAATCACACACAGGGTGGGAGTTGTCACAGCTGCTCTTTGCTGATGACACTGTGCTCTTGGGAGATTCTGAAGAGAAGCTGCAGAGATTGGTGGATGAATTTGGTAGGGTGTGCAAAAGAAGAAAATTAAAGGTGAATACAGGAAAGAGTAAGGTTATGAGGATAACAAAAAGATTAGGTGATGAAAGATTGAATATCAGATTGGAGGGAGAGAGTATGGAGGAGGTGAACGTATTCAGATATTTGGGAGTGGACGTGTCAGCGGATGGGTCTATGAAAGATGAGGTGAATCATAGAATTGATGAGGGAAAAAGAGTGAGTGGTGCACTTAGGAGTCTGTGGAGACAGAGAACTTTGTCCTTGGAGGCAAAGAGGGGAATGTATGAGAGTATAGTTTTACCAACGCTCTTATATGGGTGTGAAGCATGGGTGATAAATGTTGCAGCGAGGAGAAGGCTGGAGGCAGTGGAGATGTCATGTCTGAGGGCAATGTGTGGTGTGAATATAATGCAGAGAATTCGTAGTTTGGAAGTTAGGAGGAGGTGCGGGATTACCAAAACTGTTGTCCAGAGGGCTGAGGAAGGGTTGTTGAGGTGGTTCGGACATGTAGAGAGAATGGAGCGAAACAGAATAACTTCAAGAGTGTATCAGTCTGTAGTGGAAGGAAGGCGGGGTAGGGGTCGGCCTAGGAAGGGTTGGAGGGAGGGGGTAAAGGAGGTTTTGTGTGCGAGGGGCTTGGACTTCCAGCAGGCATGCGTGAGCGTGTTTGATAGGAGTGAATGGAGACAAATGGTTTTTAATACTTGACGTGCTGTTGGAGTGTGAGCAAAGTAACATTTATGAAGGGATTCAGGGAAACCGGCAGGCCGGACTTGAGTCCTGGAGATGGGAAGTACAGTGCCTGCACTCTGAAGGAGGGGTGTTAATGTTGCAGTTTAAAAACTGTAGTGTAAAGCACCCTTCTGGCAAGACAGTGATGGAGTGAATGATGGTGAAAGTTTTTCTTTTTCGGGCCACCCTGCCTTGGTGGGAATCGGCCAGTGTGATATTAAAAAATAAAATATAATATATATATATATATATATATATATATATATATAAATATTATATATATATATATAATATATATAATATATATATATATATATATATATATATTATATTTTTTTTTTTTTCAACAAGTCGGCCGTCTCCCACCGAGGCAGGGTGACCCAAAAAAGAAAGAAAATCCCCAAAAAGAAAATACTTTCATCATCATTCAACACTTTCACCACACTCACACATTATCACTGCTTTTGCAGAGGTGCCCAGAATACAACAGTTTAGAAGCATACACATATAAAGATACACAACATATCCCTCCAAACTGCCAATATCCCAAACCACTCCTTTAAAGTGCAGGCATTGTACTTCCCATTTCCAGGACTCAAGTCCGACTATATGAAAATAACCGGTTTCCCTGAATCCCTTCACTAAATATTACCCTGCTCACACTCCAACAGATCGTCAGGTCCCAAGTATCATTCGTCTCCATTCACTCCTATCTAACACGCTCATGCACGCTTGCTTGAAGTCCAAGCCCCTCGCCCACAAAACCTCCTTTACCCCCTCTCTCCAACCCTTTCGAGGATGACCCCTACCCCTCTTTCCTTCCCCTATAGATTTATATGCTTTCCATGTCATTCTACTTTGATCCATTCTCTCTAAATGACCAAACCACCTCAACAACCCCTCTTCTGCCCTCTGACTAATACTTTTATTAACTCCACACCTTCTCCTAATTTCCACACTCCGAATTTTCTGCATAATATTTACACCACACATTGCCCTTAAACAGGACATCTCCACTGCCTCCAACCGTCTCCTCGCTACTGCATTTACCACCCAAGCTTCACACCCATATAAGAGTGTTGGTACTACTATACTTTCATACATTCCCTTCTTTGCCTCCATAGATAACGTTTTTTGACTCCACATATACCTCAACGCACCACTCACCTTTTTTCCCTCATCAATTCTATGATTAACCTCATCCTTCATAAATCCATCCACCGACACGTCAACTCCCAAGTATCTGAAAACATTCACTTCTTCCATACTCCTCCTCCCCAATTTGATATCCAATTTTTCTTTATCTAAATCATTTGATACCCTCATCACCTTACTCTTTTCTATGTTCACTTTCAACTTTCTACCTTTACACACATTCTCAAACTCATCCACTAACCTTTGCAATTTTTCTTTAGAATCTCCCATAAGCACAGTATCATCAGCAAAAATAACTGTGTCAATTCCCATTTTGAATTTGATTCCCCATAATTTAATCCTACCCCTCTCCCGAACACCCTAGCATTTACTTCTTTTACAACCCCATCTATAAATATATTAAACAACCATGGTGACATTACACATCCCTGTCTAAGACCTACTTTTACCGGGAAGTATTCTCCCTCTCTTCTACACACCCTAACCTGAGCCTCACTATCCTCATAAAAGCTCTTTACAGCATTTAGTAACTTACCACCAATTCCATAAACTTGCAACATCTGCCACATTGCTCCTCTATCCACTCTATCATATGCCTTTTCTAAATCCATAAATAAAATAAAAACTTCCCTACCTTTATCTAAATACTGTTCACATATATGCTTCAATGTAAACACTTGATCTACACATCCCCTACCCACTCTGAAGCCTCCTTGCTCATCCGCAATTCTACATTTTGTCTTACCTCTAATTCTTTCAATTATAACCCTACCGTATACTTTTCCTGGTATACTCAGTAAACTTATTCCTCTATAATTTTTACAATCTCTTTTGTCCCCTTTCCCTTTATATAAAGGGACTATACATGCTCTCCACCAATCCCTAGGTACCTTCCCCTCTTTCATACATTTATTAAACAAAAGTACCAACCACTCCAACACTATATCCCCCCCTGCTTTTAACATTTCTGTCATGATCCCATCAGTTCCAGCTGCTTTACCCCTTTCATTCTACGTAATGCCTCACGTACCCCACCACACTTACATTCTGCTCTTCTTCACTCCTAAAAGATGGTATACCTCCCTGGCCAGTGCATGAAATTACCGCCTCCCTTTCTTCCTCAACATTTAAAAGTTCCTCAAAATATTCTCGCCATCTACCTAATACCTCCCTCTCCCCATCTACTAACTCCCCTACTCTGTTTTTAACGGACAAATCCATACTTTCCCTAGGCTTTCTTAACTTGTTTAACTCACTCCAAAATTTTTTCTTATTTTCATTAAAATTTCTTGACAGTGCCTCTCCACTCTTTCATCTGCTCTCCTTTTGCACTCTCTCACCACTCTCTTCACCTTTCTTTTACTCTCCATATACTCTGCTCTTCTATAACACTTCTGCTTTGTAAAAACCTCTCGTAAGCTACCTTTTTCTCTTTTATCACACCCTTTACTTCATCATTCCACCAATCACTCCTCTTCCTCCTGCCCCCACCCTCCTATAACCACAAACTTCTGCCCCACATTCTAATACTGCATTTTTAAAACTATTCCAACCCTCTTCAACCCCCCCACTACTCATCTTTGCACTAGCCCACCTTTCTGCCAATAGTCGCTTATATCTCGCCCGAACTTCCTCCTCCCTTAGTTTATACACTTTCACCTCCCTCTTACTTGTTGTTGCCACCTTCCTCTTTTCCCATCTACCTCTTACTCTAACTGTAGCTACAACTAAATAAAGATCTGATATATCAGTTGCCCCTCTATAAACATGTACATCCTGGAGCCTACCCATCAACCTTTTATCCACCAATACATAATCTAACAAACTACTTTCATTACGTGCTACATCATACCTTGTATATTTATTTATCCTCTTTTTCATAAAATATGTATTACTTATTACCAAATTTCTTTCTACACATAGCTCAATTAAAGGCTCCCCATTTACATTTACCCCTGGCACCCCAAATTTACCTACTACTCCCTCCATAACATTTTTACCCACTTTAGCATTGAAATCCCTAACCACCATTACTCTCACACTTGATTCAAAACTCCCCAAGCATTCACTCAACATTTCCCAGAATCTCTCTCTCTCCTCTACACTTCTCTCTTCTCCAGGTGCATACACGCTTACTATAACCCACTTTTCACATCCAATCTTTATTTTACTCCACATAATCCTTGAATTTATGCATTTGTAGTCCCTCTTTTTCTGCCATAGCTTATCCTTCAACATTATTGCTACTCCTTCTTTAGCTCTAACTCTATTTGAAACCCCTGACCTAATCCCATTTATTCCTCTCCATTGAAACTCTCCCACCCCCTTCAGCTTTGTTTCACTTAAAGCCAGGACATCCAGTTTCTTCTCATTCATAACATCCACAATCATCTCTTTCTTATCATTTGCACAACATCCACGCACATTCAGACTTCCCACTTTGACAATTTTCTTCTTCTTATTCTTTTTAGTAATCTTTACTGGAAAAGGGGTTACTAGCCCATTGTTCCCGGCATTTTAGTTGACTTTTACAACACGCATGGCTTACGGAGGAAAGATTCTTATTCCACTTCCCCATGGATATAAAAGGAAAAGTTATAAGACCAAGAACTATTAAGATAAAATCAAAGAAAACTCAGATGAGTGTGTATAAATAAACGTGTACATGTATGTGTAGTGTGACCTAAGTGTAAGTAGAAGTAGCAAGACGTACCTGTAATCTTGCATATTTATGAGACAGACAGACAGACAGACAGACACAGATAGATATAGATAGATATAGATAGATATAGATAGATATAGATAGATAGATAGATATAGATAGATATATATATATATATCCCCCTTTGTACCCTACAAGAAGCAGCCTTAAGTCCTTGATAAAAATTAGCATTAAATTTTTGTGCACGACTGGCCTGACGTGGTTCATGAATGTACAGAACTATCCTCCCTGGACTACAAAGGTAGCCTTTACCACTACTACTATATTGTAATAATGCTGGTAGAATTACTGACAGTATGTCAGGTAAAAGGACACAAGTACAACTAATGTGACATTTTGTGGATTTTTTTCAATTTCCAGTACATGTACTGGTACACAATGATCTAAGATAAATATGCTTAACATATATTAGCTATGGTACCATATTTCAAATTTTAAAAAAATTAAGGGTTCAGTAGACAAACTGAACAAGTGTGAAAGGTGTGTAGCAGACAAACACTAAGGCAACTTATCCACTGTTAGCCAGTGAAGAATGTGCTGGGCCGGAAATTTCACACCACAAGTTCAAATCTGTTACTTCATGGAATGGAATGAAAGAATTTAACCAAGATTGACACCTGAACTGCCATGTCTGCATGCCTCTGCAAAGACAGTGATTATGTGTGAATGATGGTGTAAGTGTTGAATGATGGTTAAAGTATTTTTCTTTTTTGGATCATCCTGCCTCGGTGGAAGATGGCCGGAGTGTTAAAAAAAAAATCTACATACTTTACTTTTTTACCATTTTTGGCATTCAGTGAAAGAGTAAAATTTAGAAATGCTGAGAAATGATAATGAACTAAATATGCAGTGCTAGTGTACATACAATTTATTTCAAATAAAGGACTTGTGCTGCAAAGATGTAAGTATCTCACAAAAGCCAAGACAAAATCAGGCAAATCTGAAATGGGAAACTGTCTATAAAAGATGGGTCTGAAACTGCCAAACACCTCATAAGAATCTGAAGGTGCAATATTTGGAATGCAAGAATGACAAGAGGCATAGCAAACATACACTTGAGACTATAGTACTTAAGATTTAAGATGTGAAGAAGCCAACACTAAACACAAAAGAATGGGAAGACTGAAGATAACATTTCAATTGTAGGAAGTATAAAAAATAAGACGAAGTCAACATTGTAGCAATATGGATGGCCTCTGCAAATACAGCATACAGCTCAGCAGGGAAAATACTGCAATAAATACCCTTGATAAGTATAATTGGGAAAGACTGCAAATATAGCTTACACCTGCAGAGAACTTCAAGCCATCAGTGTTTGCAGCTAGTAAATCCGTGCAATTAAAAATGGTCAAGAGCAAGTCTAGAGCAAAGAAGGAAGCCTCTGGAAAGGTAAAAAAATGTTTTAACATACAGAGCACTGGGACTTTGAGATCCCTCAGCACTCTTGGCTGAGATTAATGGACTGCAATAAGGAGGGAGGTTAAAGTATCAGACATACTAACATCTGGGAATTTTACAAATCAAACACTCAAGGAAACAAAGTAGCAAAGAGAATGAGTACCATGTCAATTCTGTGAAGTAGGGACATCAGACTCCACTTACAGCCTCTTAAACAAGGAAGGACTAAAAGCTCCCCCTGAAAACAAAGGTAAACATTGATAACAGATGGCATTCAGCTTGGTGGCAGTGTAGAGGTTGATTACTTGGTTCCCATAGCTCAGGGCAAAATAAAAAGGGTTTCATCTTGCTTAAGAACAAACTATGAAGAAACAGTCAAAGAACTCAACTTAATTTCCTTGAAGAAACAAAAGGAAGTGGCCCCATTCAGAGCAAACAAATTGACTATGATATGAACTGTTTGAGGAAAGCAGCTCAATAATGAAAAAGAAAGGCAAAAAGCCTCAAGAGGCAAGAGATGCAACACAAATGGGAATAACTTGTCTGAGTAAAATTACACTGGTATAAGTTATGAAACTGCCAAGAGAAAAAACAAAATGAACTTTTAGCTTTAAGCAATAGCTGGACAAGCACTTTGCAAATGCAAAACCATTCAAGAAAATGAAAGGGCAGGCTGGTACTGACTACAGGAATCCTGTCATTATTTCATTGACTACCCAGGGCAACTGGATGATGATAAACCACTCAAGATATAGTATTAGTGGTTGTATAAGCAGTAGCAGCAGTGGCAGTTAAGGCAGCAGCATCAATGGCAGCAATAACAGTAAATCAAATCCTCTTCCACCATCCCTATTAATTATCAATACACGTTTTCATTACAACATAATTCAACCCCATTTTTAGTCATTATTACTGTTAAGTGCTAAACCCATATGGGTCATTCAGTGATATATGGCAAAGGGGTGCTGACAGAGGATAGTAGTATGAGAGGCAAGTCCATGATTGACGTAATAAGTTGGCTACAGTTAAGATGCTATGGAAAGTCTACATTAAAGATGGGGTTTGGCAGCCGTGAAAGAGAAGTTAATACAAACATATGCAGGGTAGGTTGTGGGATGGTAACCTTTCGTTCAAGTGTGGGAAAGGGATAAATTGCACCAAACCCATAATTTGCTAAGAGATGCACACCATAAGTACGAACAAAAAGTGGATGACTCAGTCCATCTTGGATAATTACAAACTCTCAATTTGACAAGTCCAAGATGGACTGAAACCTACAGTTTTCACTTAAAACTGTGAGCTTGTTAACAGTTTCAGCCATGGTACTGTGATTAAAGACAGGGTCTAAGAGCCTTAGCTAGAGCTCCATCAATACAAAAGTTGGGAAAGTAAACACTTCCAACCATTGTAAACTTTTTTTTTACAATTTATATAATGAGCAATTACAGTAACTAATCAGAGACTGAGCTGCAATTTGGAGACAGAGGACTTGACTTTGCTAATTCATGTGCTGAATGATCCACGGGTGTAGCACTATGAAATGCAATCTATGATGATACACGAACTAAAAATAGTTCAATTCCAAACCCAATTTTTTTTTCTTTTTTTAAGTATTCTCTCCATCCTTCGATATCTCACTGATGCTTCTATGAATTCAGTCCTCAATTACTATATATTCAGTACCGCATTCATTTTCCATTTTCTAATGTTCTTGGCTTCAATACTAAGCACAAAAAAATTTGTAAGTTTTCTCTTAAAATTGTTTTACCTACCCCAGGCATCTTGCAGAGTTGGCACAAATACACTATACATAGATACTACTAAATGAACAAGTAGACAAAGAAATCAAGCAAATCAAGACTCTTCCACAGTCTATCCTTTGTTAGAAGGAAAATGCTGAATGCACTACATACTTCATTTCAATATACACAATGCAGAGTGCACTGAAGTGTCGAGTTCAGCATATGCATATTAATACCTTAGCCAAAACGGTGAGATCAAGGATGCTGGACGAGATCGTGGCCAAGGTGTTTGTGGCAGTGTTTAAGGCAGCAGTATTCTGCAAGGACATACCTCACTTAGTCACAAAAACTTTTATGGCATAAAAGATATTAAGGTGAAGAACATGCTAATCATTTTGAAAGCAGTTTCTAAAGTTAGTTATGAAAGTAAGGCATTATGCATTACAGTAGTACTAAATAAAGAAATCATAAAATGTGAAACCAAGGTTTCAACAAGGCTGATATTTTTCTGTCATAAAATGTGTAATTATCCACCAATCTATTTCCTTTTCCTTCAGCTTAATTTTTTTTTTTAAAGTTTCTGTAAACATTCACCACAACACACAGGTCACTTCCCAACAAAGTAGAGCAACCTAATGCAGGAAACGCATTCACCAGTCTTTAACCAGCTTTCCAGAAACTGAACATCGACCCTACCCAATGATCCATAAATAAGTTGCTAGACATATGCATTTTTTAGCTCTCTATACTCAAAATAAAAGTGTTTGCAGGTGAAGAAAATAAGCTGCAAAAAGTTATTTAAATCATTTACCAATGATCTATGTACAAAAAATAGAAACAGCAAGAGGAATTCCAATCATTTACCAATGAAATATGTACAAGAAAAAGGAAGAGAAACATTGTCATCTGAAATGTTCAGTAAAACAAAAAAATGAATATTTCAGCAATGTAATTAAAAATAATTGACATAATTTAGAAAAACTTGAAATGAGAGAACATTAAACAGCTAAGATCACCCATCCAGATACTGCTAAGACTAAGTCAGCATAAATTACTTTCAATATTGCTCATTTATTATTATTATTAATGGAAATTTTTTTAAGACATTTATTACAGCTATATTTACTGGTGAGTCTTCCTACAAACTTTCAAACAACTCTGTTTATTCTACCTCCTGTTTTAACTTTTCTTCATTTTTCATCAGTGTTCCTCTCTTTCACATTTGAGTTATCACCTGGTAGTGTTTGCCCACAGTAATAAATCTACCAGAGTAAACAAAAATGAAAGACTTGTTAGGAAACCAACTTCATACTGGTAATACAACATTATTATATCCACTAGGAATTGCTAAATCTGTGGCCAAATAACACCTGGGGAATGGGAGGCAATCAGGTTTGAGCCAAGAAAAGGAAGAATAGCTTCAATTCCTCAGATCAAATGACTTGCCCACCTAAAGCAATACAACTCATTTTCTGCAAATGTAGAGTGAAAGCAAAAACTTAAGTTATTTTAAATCATTTATTGGTAATGGGCTCTACTGAAAATAAGGTAAATAATTTTGATTCCCGTCAGTATGTACAACTTTCAAACTATAAAAAAAATATTATTTAGTATCAAGAGATCAAACTTAAAAAATCAGACAGTGATAACTGCACTAATTAAACATTACACAAGTTTTTGAAATAAATAAAACCTGTTACACATTTTACAGGCATCTTATAATTATAAAATGTCTAATGCTGTACTGTATATCCTTACACAGAACTTAAAAGCCTTATGTGATACATTAAAGTTTTGAAGACAAAAATACACAAGGTATTTCAGCAAACTCTTAAGTAACTACGCTCAAGAAACTGCCACTTTCAGAGATCAACCAAAACAGGTTAAGTCTTGAGGAATGTGCACACTACTTGTTCTGGTATATTTAATATTTTTTGCCACTGAGGCACATTATCTTTGTTACTTAACTTTGCCTTACTTTACATTTATAGTGTGCAGTGTATTGTGAATCCTAATCAATGTACAGTAGTACCCCTAAATTCACAGTCTTCCAAATTGACATTCCTCAATTGACTCACGAAATCGTAATGACACGATTGCAAACAAACCATACCACGGGCGGGACTGAACCCGCGGTTCAATCCCGCCCGTGGTTTGGTTTATTCCTCAATTGTTTAAGATTTCCACTAAACTCTCTGGTGAACTCTTTGTGGTGTAGTTTTTGTTTGGCACAAACTGAAAACCATAAGATTTCATTCAAAATGGATTTTTCTCACTTCTTTGTAGACATTCTTCCTTATGACCATATTAATGAGGTTATGGATTTTCTCTGAAGAAAAAAAAAAAGCTATATCTGAAATAAATTCATTTCAGACAGATTAGTGATTTTCAGATTCTGAATCTGCCACGACCTTGTATAGCCTAACCAGCAAATTTAGAGGTTCAACTATGTGAACATGTATTAATATTCATTAAATAGTTGAAAAACTATAACTAACACTCAGCAAAAATTACTACAAACTTTTGTCGAGATTAATTCATTAGAGCTGACTGATATTATTGCATTTGCAGATGTTAAGAAAATGGCAAAATCTTGGTCTAGAGAGTGTAGGTTTTTAGTTCATTGTATTGTGACTTTAAAATTACTTAAAACACAAAATTAGATATACAAGTAGCTCAGAAAGCAAGACTTTAATAAAAACTACTCCTGAGAGTTGGGGAGACAAATAATACGGTGGGTTTGGGTATGGAGCCATTCCTAATAAGATTGAGACAGGCTCAGATATTGGTAATACAGTATCGACAACTACAAACTGCAGTTGTAGATACTGTGGATACTTTCTGAGTGAAACACGAGAATAGAAGAATTAGGCGAGGAATGTTCATCAGTGAAAATTCAAAGCCAGCCTTACATTTTTATCAACAACATTCATGAATTTGATACAAAGTGGGAGTTGCTACAGTTGCTCTTTCCCAGTGACAGTTCTTGTGGGAGATTCCCAAGAAAATATGCAATGGTTGGTGGATGAATTTGGGAGGGTATGTAAAAGGAAATTAAAAGTGAGAAAAAAAAAAAAAAGCAATGTAATGAGTAACAAAAAATTTATGCAATGAAATATTGTATATCAGACTGGAGGTAGTATGAAGGAAGAGTTTCACAAATAACAAAAAAGGCACAATACCGTGACTGGAACAATACTGGAACGAGTTTCACAGTAAGTATATTCAGATACTTGGGAGTGAACTTGTAGGCAGATGGGTCTTTGAGAGACTAGGGAAACCGAAAAATAGTCGATGGGAAAAAAAACGGGGGTGTGTAGGCATCTGTGGAGACGAACAACTATCTATGGAGTTAAAAAGGGAATAGACTATTGAAGTACTGACACTTATATGGGTGTGAGGCATGAGCTTAAAGTTTTATAGCAAGGAAGAGGTTGGAGGCAGTGGAAATGTCACATATGAGAGTGATGTATAGTATATAACTTTAGCAGAGAATTCAGAGCATAGAAGTTAGAAGATTGTGTGGAATTACCAGGGCTAGTGTATAATTCAGAGGCCTGGGGAGGGTTTGTGGTAATTTTGAGCAATTAGGATGGAGCAGAATAGGATGACCAAAAGTGTGCACAAATTACAGGTGGAAGGAAGGAGGAGCTGGAGTCGTTTCAGACAGGTTGGAGGGAGAGGGGGTACAGGTTGTTTTGAATGCTAATGGCTTGAGCATCCAGCAGGCAGTGAACATATTAGATCAGAGTGGAGACAAGTTATTTTAATGGCTAGATATGTTGTTTGGGTGTAAGCAGGGTAACATTTATGAAGGGATTGTGGGAAACCAGTTAGCTGGACGAGTCCTGGAGGTGGGAAGTACAGTACCTGTACTCTGAGGAAGGTGAAGGGATATTGCAGTTGAGGTCATTTGAACTCTGGCATTGCCACACTTTTGCAAGACAGCTATTGAATGAGTGATGGATGCATTTTCTTTTTGGGGAAGATGAGAATCCTTACCTTGGTGGTCAATGGCCAATGTGTTAAAACAAAAGTGCAGAAACAGGCAAGACCAGATTTACCTCTACTGTACAGGTAACTGAATTATAACTGGGGAAAAATAATGAAGTTTCAGGCATTTAAAATGCAAATTATGTATTTGGACAAACATTTACCCAAAGCTGCCATTGCATCATGTAACAGCAGGAGATTTTAAACATTTTTTGAGAATTAAAGAAAATGACAACTGCAAAATGAATCTTGTGAGAAAATTGTAAGGAGAATTTACAATAATTACATGCAATTGTGCCAAAAAATTTTCATATAAAAAAAAAATTAACACATCAGCCACTTTCCACCTAGGAAGGGGGACCCAAAGAAGGGATCAATTTTTGTCCTGTATTATTATATGCGAATTATTAACAAATTTTAGGAAATAAAAAAAATCTTTCCAAATACATATTAAATTTAGGCCCAAAAAGCCAGCATTAGCTGTTGCTGTGACCACCTGTAAGGACCATCAGCTGCCCTCCAACTGTACCCAGCATCACAACCAGTGATATAATTTTTTGTCACATCCAAGCCACAGAACCAACACCATTGAGCAAGTCATTGTACGACACCCATTTTAAGCTTTTTTTGTTTTGTTTTCTGTTTTTTTATGAATAAACCAACAGCAGAAACTTTGCAATATATTTCAAGGTCTGAACACCTGAAGGCACTTGCCTTTCAGTGGAAAATTCAGTATGAAGCTGCTACCTCAAGACAAGGGAACTCCCAGAGAAAGGAAAACATTAGTAAGGAGAGAAATGAGATAAAATTATGTTGAGATGATGCTGCCTAATTAAAAAAAATAATTACATATAATTAAAACAGTTTGAAGTTGAGAGAGATTTAAAGTTATACAAGATAAACTTCAATCTCCAAAACTATATACTACACTAATGCTTTGTGCTAATCATTAGTTAGCATATTGTACTCTAGGAATCATGCAACTTTTATGTCTATAAACAAAAGTTCATGGTACAGCATCAGTAAATCTGACACAGCATCATAAAGACTGTCAAATCCTCCAGTTTTCCATGCTAGAAAAATAGTTAATCCTTACAATAAATTTTTGAAAACACCAACAGCTTGTAATTTCTTGTACTCCTTATCTACATTTAAAGTGAGATTATTTAGTTATTAATGGTGTGCATTTTAACTTTGTAATATGCTTTAAATATAGTGCTACATTTTCTTGAATTCACTGATACTGAAATTCTTTACTGAAGAAAAACAAAGATAAAACTTTAAAATCTTTAATATTAATGTACTCTATATGTACAATACATACGAAAATATAAACTTGTTATGATACATTTTCCTCAAACAAATTCAGTGATAACTTCCTCCAAGACACACTTTATTATAGACACCTTTTTGTCATGTCTGGGCATGATCCTAACTTTGATATAGTGCTACGGCTACTTGTACTACTATAACTCTGTGAATTAAGGAAATTAAAATGTTCTTCCTTTCCTAGAATAAGGTATATCTTCAATAATTGCAATGGCTTGTTTTTCCTGTTTAAATGTGTATATTTAACAAGTATGACAACACAGCATCAGTATTTTCCTCCACCTTCCACTCTTAAACTGCTTGCCTCACCAGTGCTGATTTCACTAGTACTGTCTATACTAGCAGATCCTCTTTGCAACCCTATTATTATACCGTTGCTTTACTTTACCTGTTCAGCTCACTCCAGCATTTACAATTCCCAGTTTCCTTGTTTTCTCCTTCATCCAAATTGCAATAGGTGGCAATGTTATCCACACTTACCCACACATACCTACACAGAGTAGTCTCCAGGTACATTCCTAAAATTATTTTGCCCTTGCAGAGTATTATTTCATTAAAATTCATTTCAACACACTTCCAAACATCTGAGATTCACAACTAAACTTGTTCACTACATGAAAGGTGAATGTAGTGTCCCACAGCTGAATAAAAGATGAAAGCTGAAAAGTGCATTTGGTGCACATGTAGATTCACTAGCTTCTCTCTCTTGGGACAAACAGAATAAAGATGTTTAAATATATTTTTAACTGAATTAACTAAATATTAACCCACTTATAAAAGTTTCATAAAATTCTTAGAATTAAATTGATTTTTATATTTAAACAATCCTTACATTGCCATAAAATTTTAAAACCCTTATAGTCTAACATTACAGCAAACAATAATAATGCATTTTAAAAAACTTAGTCTAGAAGACTTACACTTGACACAACATTGGGCAAGTTGCTCCCTGTAGCTGGTGTCAACTGGCTGGATGCAGCAGAAGTAGAGGTGATGTCAGGGGCTGCAACTGACTGAGTCGAGGAACCCCCAACACTTTTTGTTGACTCTGCCGACTGCCTTGTGCCTGCAGGCTGTGGGGTAAGGGGTGACCACTGGGACGTTGGAGGAGAGGTTAACTCTATACCAGAAAGGAGGTCCAAATTGGAGATGCCAGAAGTCACAGATGATACAGTGGCCCCTGCGGACACACTTTGCACGTTAGCTCCTTGTATACTTTGTGGCTGCAATGATGACTGCTGGGATTGTTGTGGTTGCTGTGGCTCTAATGGTTTCTGTTGTGCTTGTGGCTGGCATGCTTGCTGTGGTTGCTGCTGCTGAGAATACTGTTGTAATGAATGTGGAGGATGCTGTTGTGGCTGTTGCTGGGGCTGCTGTGTTTGATGAGGATGTTGATATTGTTGATCACCATACTGAGCCCACATCATTGGCTTACTATAGCCCTGATTGTACTGCCTGGTTTGATTGTATTGGCTAGAGGTCTGTGACATAAGGCTAACGCCAGGCAGCATACTCTGTGTGGGTAACTGTGAAGCGCTACTGTAAGGATATTTCTGCGAGTGCACAGAATTTGAATCGCCAGACATGCTAGTTATCGTACTTACAGTACCAGCCTGACTAGTGCTATTTGATACTATGCCTGCCTGAGGATAGCTAGAATACACATTCCACTGGTTTGGTGCTTGTGATGAATATGTTGCAGTATTTGTTGTTTGCAAATTTCCACTAGATTGTGCACTGCTTGTTGTGGATGGCAGTGATGTGTAAGTTCCAGTGCTGTATATGCCTGTCATTGGACTGACATATGATCCTGATGAATAAGTGGCACCTTGATTAGAATATAAATCAGCTGCTTGGGTGCTAGCTGTTTGTCCTTTATAAGATGAGCCATCCTGGCTCATATAGCCAAACTGATTTGCTCCTGCTTGACTATAAACAGAAGGGACTGCTGTATTTGCCTGGGCTTGTGGGTACTGGTAGGGGTACTGGGTATAGTTCTGAGTGCTGGTTGGATGTGGAGGCTGGGTACTTATTTGGGTTGTTGATACCACAGAAGGTACAGTAGCAGTAACAGAGGATGCTGTGGAAATGGTACTTTGCTGCTGTGGATAGTACCCATAATAGCCTTGAGAGGCTTTATTAGTTTGTCCTGAAGGTAAAGGTTGAGAAATCTGAGCAGTTCCCCCTGAAGAACTACTGCAAATACTCCCACTTGCTACTGAAGTTACAGTGTTCACACTGAAAGTCGAAGACGAAGTCACTGAATAGCCTGGCCCATACCCATACTGAGGTTGGCGAGATGCTGCTTTATGTTCACTAGTTGCCCCACCATGAAGTGGAGATCCCTGAGGCATGCCATGAGGACTATGAGCACTAGTGGATACTGTTGGTGTTGTCAGAGTCATTCCTGGAACATTCTGGTAGCTGTAAGGGGAGTATTGCACATTATAGCCAAATTGACTGGGGTGCTGACTCCCAACTTGTGATGCAGTATAGCTACTGGGCTGGCTGACTGTGGTGGCAGCAGTGGGTGGGGCATTTATAATGCTAGAATAACTTGCAGCCTGAGTAGATGGCATGGGTGTTGCAGAGCTCTGTGCTGCAGGATATCCTGCAACACCTACATTTGCCGAATAGGCAGAAGCCCCACTCTGCTGAGGGTAATACTGACCAGGTGTGTGATGTGGTGATGCAGTAACAGGCATTTTGAAAGGTGATCCTGTGCACTGTGGAGCTGGAGATGGTGCTGGTGAGGGTGCAGAAGGATGGTATGCAGAGGCTTGACTTGAGTAGCTACCTGTGTACCCACTACAAGAAGTCAATGGGTCATTCTGCTCAGAGCCTAAAGGCGCAGGTCGCATACTGCTAGTGTACGCACTACTTTGATTACTATATACATAACCTGGTGCTCCTGGCTGAACCTGGACACTTGCAGCAGTCATACCCGAATGCATTCCACTACTTACACCCATTCCACCACCCTTCATGTGCTGTAGAAAATCTTTAAGTTTTGGCCCACTAGCTGTACTTGCACCTGCATCCAAGTTTGGAATCTGCCCAGAAACCATTGGTCCACCTGGTGCTTTAGATGCCACAGAACTTCCTGTGAACTTTTTAACATTTGCTGAGAGAACTTCTTCTCGCTCCTCGTCCTGCACTCTACAAACAGATTTCACTCTAGATGCAAGCTTATTTACCTGCCCTTCAAGTTTATGATAAAATTCTTCAGCATCTTCAGCCTTTTTCAGGATATTTATATAGGCATTGTATGATGCCAACAGAGATGAAATAGTTTCGGTTCTTTGTGCTTGAACCTGGTTCGTCAGCCGGCGAGTGGTAGCATATGCCGCATTAGCTTCTGAGAGAGCCTGGAGGATATTTCCCTGGGCAGCCATATTTTGCTCAAGTAGAGATACCTATAATAAGATGAGAGCAAGAATTAGGCTAAAAAAAAAAGTGCTGATTAAAAATATCAAAATCAGCCTGAAATAATAATTAAATTAAATAGGTATATAGCATAGAATATTTTTTATCACACTGGCAACTCTTGACAAAGACAAGATGATCTGAAGGAGCACACATTCACCATCCCTCATTCCCTAACTGCCTTTCAATTAAGAACCCCCCAAAAAATGGATGGTTATAACCATGACCATAATTTTTAAAGGGGTGGATCGGTGAGCCAGCAAAAGGCTTCAGTCAGACAACCAAAAGCTCCAATGGCGGGTCATCACCTGACTATGGCCCACGTCAGGAGACACTTGCCCTGTTTCCTGACGAACCTTACCTAACCTAATCTCCTTCCTATTACTGACCAAAAAATAAGTGAATCATCTTGGCTGTAATCCTGATGCCACATCTTGTTTCAGTATTTCAGATAACTGCTGGATCTGGAGAGTGCTTTGTACACAATGCCTTCTTGATGCCTCCTCACTGCAGTTTTTGTTTTTTAATCAAGCCCTTAAAACTCAAGCCTTTTGTACTCCTTCCCTCCAACTGTTCCTGGGGCACCTTTTTTTTCTCCTACCTTCCACCACAGATTCACATACCCTCTTCATCAACATGATATTTATACAACAAAACACTTGCCAACACTACATTCGCACTGCTTCCAGCCTCCTCACTGCAGAATCCAATGATCTTGTTTCATACTTCTATATGGTAGCACTACATGCTAAAGAAAAACAAAATGAAAAGAAAGTGAAAAAAGTGCATAAGTAGAGGAAACAATGAAAACAAGAATGACAAAAAATTTTATACAGCCAAGAAAAAAGGCTTTCATGGAAGTATGCTAAATAACATGGTACCTAATTATTGTTCTCTGATAAAATTAAAACGAGCCAAAACAAATGCCATCATTCTGCCATTTCATTTTTGCTTTGATCCTATTACATAAATGAACATTAGCAAAGACTCAGCCTCTCTTGACAACTATAACAAGTAATTAGCATTCAAACAATCATTGTCCTAAAACTTTATTCACATGCCAATGTGATAACCAAAGAAAATCAATGTACCAGTTTGTCATGTTTCTTCAGTTCGTTTTGGAAGAAGTCCTCCATGTCATCCTGGCTAGTAACCAACTGCTTGGTGACATCATCAGCTTGAATGTCAGCACGTAACTGACTCTCCCACTTTGAACGCTGGGCTTGCATTTCGCTCACTTTGCCAAGTAAACGTTTTACTTCTTGCTTTGCAGTAGGATCACCCTGAACTGTGTGTAGAAACAAATTTAATTTGTATGACAGTATAGTGGTATCAACACTCTTATATGGGTGTGAAGCACGGAGTGTGAATGTTGCAGCAAGGAGGCTGGAAGCGATGATGTCATGTCTAGCGGCAATGTGTGGCGGAAATTTTATGCAGAGAATTTGTAGTGTAGAAATTAGGTGTGGAGTTACTAAAACTACAATTCAGAGAGCTGAGGGGTTGTTGAGGGAAGAAGAGGTAAGGGTCATCCTAGGCAAGGATGAGGGAGGAGGCGCATGCAGCAGGCAAGTGTGAGTGTATTAGATAAGAGTAGAAACAAATGGTTTTGGGGACTTGACGAGCTGTTGGAATGAGAGCAGGGTAATATTTTGTAAAGGGATTCAGGGAAACCGGTTAGCTGGACCCGAGTCCTGGAGGTGAGAAGCACAATGCCTGCACTTTAATGGGATATTTGATGTTTAGAATGACATCTAAATTATCATATTTGTGCACCTCTGCAAAAGCAGTGATAGTGTGAATGATGGAGATTGGGGAAAGGGAGGATGGGGGATGACATCATCACCCTCCCTTGGTGGGAGATGTCCAGTTAAAAAAAAAAAAAAAAAAAAAGTACAGTACATCTGTAAACAACGAGTCATGTTATTAATCTCTTTTGTACATTCAAATAGCACACACAAAACATCAGCAATGAGACATTTATGACTTTTCAGTGGATGTGTCCATTAAAAGATGAGGTGAACCATAGAACAGACAAAGGAAAAAACGGGTGGTGTGTTGAAGCAACAAGGAGGAAGCTGAAATTAAGACACATGTGCAACATCTGGGTATCTTTATTGTAGACGTTTCGCCATCCAGTGGCTTTATCAATACAAATTCTAGGGCATAACTTGAAGACAGTAGAACTATGTACAGAAGATGAGGTAATCAGTCCCTCAACCTAGGAGTAGGTGCGAAGAGCACCATAGTCGTGGAGATTCTGAAGCAGAAGAAAGGAGCCTGGCGCTTATATAGTAACGTCAGGTGTAGCAGACGAGGGCATAGTCACTGGTAGGCAGGATTCCCCAGTGGAAGTAGGTCCTTCCCAAAGAGATGGGTTAGTTGTAGTAGTAGTTGTCGTAGCCGTGAAGGTTATGTACATGTTCTCAGAATCAAGATTCCATGATGTTGCAGTGTCTGACAAGTTGTGTAAGAATGGTATATAATACCGACAAGATGAAATTAAGACACATGTGCAACATCTGGGTAACTTTATTGTAGACGTTTTGCCATCCAGTGGCTTTATCAATACAAATTCTAGGACATAACTTGAAGACAGTAGAACTATGTACTATGTGCCAGGCTCCTTTCTTCTGCTTCAGAATCTCCACGACTATGGTGCTCTTCGCACCTACTCCTAGGTTGAGGGACTGATTACCTCATCTTCTGTACATAGTTCTACTGTCTTCAAGTTATGTCCTAGAATTTGTATTGATAAAGCCAAGGGTGGCGAAATGTCTACAATAAAGATACCCAGATGTTGCACATGTGTCTTAATTTCATCTTGTCGGTATTATATACCATTCTTACACAACGAGGAGGAAGCTCGAGGAAATGGTTTTTATGACTTGACATGGTACTGGAGTGTAAGAAGGCAACATTTATGAAGGAATTTTGGGAAAATGGTTAACCAGGATCAAGTCCTGGATATGGTAAGTAGTATCTGCATTCTAAAGGATAGGCAAGGATACTGCAGTGTGGAGTCATTTGAACAGTGATGTCGGCATACTTCTGGCAAGACAGCAATTGAATGAATAGTTTTTTTTTTTATTTTCAGGGATGGGGGGGGAGGGATGTAACCCTACCTTGATGTTAGATGATCTGAGAGTTAAGCATTACAGATTTTTATTTAATCTTAGCACTTCCAGTATTACTTAGCAATTTCTTTGTGTACTACAATTAATGGGTAATAAAGGGAAGGAAGAGGGGTAAAAAAAAAATCGGTGACCACAAGTTAAATAGTGTGAGCAGTGTCAGTTACTAAAGTAGAGGATGGGAAGTTCTCTGATGTAATTATGATGGGTGAACTACCACAAAGTACAAGTAAGTCCCCCAGGTAATGCCCACAATTTAAGTGCACTTGGACTTGATCCCATCTTATCAATAATTTGCCATGCTATAAAACAATGTAGTTTTAACATATAAACCATCTTTTTAAAAGTATGCAGAAAAGTAATACCGTAATATACGGCCTCTCCTCGCTTAACGACAAAGTTCCATTCCTACAACCACGTTTGTAAACGAATCTGTCGCTAAGTAAGGAGCATACTATAATGGTAGTGGGTTTGTGTCTACCATCTTTGATATTGTTTTAATGTCGCCTCTGCACCATTTACAACTTTTCTGGTATATTTTTAAATGTTTATACAGTAATGTACTGTATATTGTAATAAACAGAATAGAGGAAATCAGCTCTAATATACATTATTTAGGTATGCATACTGGTCAGAGAGCCCGTTGTAAGTCCGAGTCGTCAGTAAACAAGTATGTCGCTAAGTGACGAGAGGATGTTCTGTATCCATCAGCTCTCTTTAACCCTTAAACTGTCCAAACGTAGATCTACGTTTTTTCAACATTTGAAAGTATGTAAAAAAACGTAGACCTTTTTTTTTTTTACATTTGAAAATGTGTAACAAAACTTTGATCTACATTTTTTTTTTGTTATATTTGAAAATATATATAAAAACGTAGATCTACTTTTGGAGCACTACGCATGTGAACGTAGATCTGTTTGGACAGTTTAAGGGTTAATTGCTCAAATTCAACATTTTTCCAACATTAAGCTAATGTGCCTTCAACCCAATATTCAGAGCACAAACTCCAATGTGCATTATTGTACTTAACATCTTTCCACATTTTCTGATAAGTTTAAATGTACCCACCTTCTACACTAGCCACTGAAGGGATTGCTGCTGCAACTTGTTCCAGGGGCTTCGAGAGTAACTGGAGGTTGGCCATGTGTGTTGTAATGGCTCTATGTAGTGCTGTATTGTTGTCTTGTGCACTCTGATGAGCCTCTCGATATTTATTGGCTTCGCGCTTCAATTCACCTATTATCATGTTGGGGGCTCGCTTCCCCATCATGGCTAGGAATTCTCTCTCTCGCTCATCTTCTTCCTAGAGTAAATTAGTTTTACAATCAAGATACAATATTCTTTGCTGGTCTAACCTATGACCTCTCTGCTTCAATCAGATAATATGCTACAATTAAAGAACTTTACTGTACGCAATGTGTTAGCATAATGACGATTCATGTGATGATCCACCAAATCTGAGAAATCCTTATTTATTTTTCATCCATTCACCTACCTCAAGAAGCCGTTTGGTGTCCTCAAGTGATGCATTAATATCATGGTAAAAGCTGGAAATTTTGGCCATGATATCCTTAAGTTTCTTTATGCCATTGCTGGCATTCAAATCTGCACAGGACTCAATAAGCTCCTGTTGAACCAGAAAACACATGAGAGAGGTATCAAGTTGATTATACAAACTACGGTGGAACCTCAAATATCGAACTTTCTTCGGTCCAGAAGGCTGTTCGAGTGCCTTTACCGAATGAATTTATTCCCATCAGGAATAATGTAAATTAGATTAGTCCATTTCAGACCCTCAAAAATACACTTATAATAGCACTTACAAAAATACACTTACATAATTGGTTGTGTTGGGAGCAGTTCGATTTTTGAGGTTCCACTGTACTTTGAAACACTGCAGTACTAGTTCTGAAAACATGATACTGTAATTTTATTCTATAAACAATAAAACCTTCCTGTCTGTCACTTAACTAATCTTAGACCAAAAATCGAGATGATTTTGAATAGTGTTTGGACCAAAAGTACCTTGAAATTGAGCTCAAAGTAGCTCAAATTTTCGATTTTTGCCGATGTTCAAGAGTAAACAAATCATACCACACATCCAATACACGTCAACTGGTGGGTCTAATATACTTTCACAAATGCGCTGATATTATTTATACCATTTTTACAATAATGCAGTAGTCTGCATAACAGTAAATCATTTATTTTTTGTGTGAATAAAAATTCAAAATGGAAAGCAAGCAAAATATAAGAGGGGCCTGGAGATGTGACTAATGAACAGAAAAAATGTTATTTTAGTGGTAGGAATGTCTGCATTGTTTATTTTGGCCCCTATTTTGAAATTGGTCTTACCTGAATCGTCTATGAAATTGGCCAAACTACCAATTTCTGATATCAGTAAATGGGCAGTTTATTGTACTCAATCGATAGAACAAATGGAGTTCTAGCATAATAGATCTGAGTTTTGTCGATGGCAACAATGGAATTGGCCGAAAATAGGGTTCAAAGTGGGCAAAATCGGCGATGCATAAATATTGCCGAGAGCACTAACTTCGCTAGAGTGTAATTCCACGAGTTTTCTATCAAATTTTGGTTTTCTGTTTGGTGCCATTACCATCAGGAAAAGATTCTCTATCATTTTATGAGATTTTTTTTTTTTTTCGAATATTTTTCGACACAGAACAAGAGTCTAGAATCAAGGGTTACAAGAGTGAAAGGGTTAATGTTATCTTGCTCACGCTTCAATAGTATATCAAATGATTTTCATGGCTAATGTCACAATTTAGTTTCCAACAAGTGATATCAATGTTCACTTCAATAATGTTATCTCAAGCACTGCTTACTTACCTGAGGAAGCGTTTCAGATGCAGAATCTAATGCAAGGGAGTCTAACTGCATAGATGCTAGGTATGTTTCCAGCTCTTCATTTTTTTCTTGGATTGAACTGCCTATATGTCGAAGTAGTTTTGCCTTCTCCTCACTGCATGAAAGAAAATTTTAATATTTCACACTGCTATATTATTTGGTTTATATTAAATTCCTTCCCATTATGTCCTTTATAGCATACTAGGATTTTTGTAGAAGCCTATGAACTCAAAAGTCCCATACTCAAATGTGAGTGAACAGCAGCTTGGAATAGTGACTGGCATGACATGACAAGCTGATGGATGAATGTGCACCAGTAGAAATCCCCAAATCTTCCATTATGTATTAAAGACTTTTTTTTTTTTTTCTCCAAAATCTGTGACCCTGAGCGAAGAACATATCGTACTTTACAGCATCGATGAAGCTATATTTTTCACAAAAATATGTCTCAAAAAATTTACCCAGTGTTTTGAAGGCTAAAGTTACATTTATCATTTTCCCAAAATTTAGCCACTCAGAATGTAGGGGGAAGCATCCTTGACACCAGAGCATCTTGTCTGACAATTTTTAAGATGCTCCTCATGAGCCTCCGTCATGATTAAGATCCTCATTATTAGATCTACTCAAAGGTTCAGGAAAAGCGATGTAAAATTATACATTAAATTAATCAATTACACAGAAGAGAGAATTATAATCCTGAGGAGCTGGTGAGGACAGAGGCACTTTGTGAGCAAGTATAAAAAAAACAATTAGCTGCAGTTTGCTACGGTTAAATCTCAAGACACATTCCTAGTTTTAAATATTTTAACCCAGTAGAGTTAACAAATATGAAAGTTCTTATGGAGGCTGAAAATAAACAACCTTTTGAAAAAAAAAGAAAAAATGAAACCTAACAAAAACATAGGATTTTCCCTAAATGTCAGATAATGGTGACAGGCAGATTTTTCACCACTTCCTATCAGAGGCAATTTTTTTTTTTGTTAAGATTTATATTTTTATTACAACTCTTACACATTTGCACTGCAAAAGTGCATTTGTAATTGATGCATACATATTCATGATGCCATATCTAAAGAGGGTGGGGAAGGGGATGGGGAAAGAGCCAATGAAAATGCCACAATGATTTGCAGTGAAGCAAACAGGGTAAAGCAAGGGACATTACACCAACGCTTTGAAGTTCAATAACTTATAAATCCAGCTTTTCAAGTTTCAGTTCATGGGTGATCAGCTGAAAAAAAAAATTAACTGATTCAATTTTGTATTACTATTTTATTGCTCAACAGATAAGTTACAGATTACAAAGATGAGGGAGATACTTTTTGGATGATTCATTCAATTGTCCTTGCACCTTAGTGGACTTGTCAATATAAGAAATAGTGACTGCCTGTATCAACAAAAATATCTGTTTTTAATAGCAAACAATTAAATAATTAAATACATAAATTAGGTACTACAGTACTTTCAATTAATGGATGAATAATTAGTGAATGAATAATTTAAATATGCAGAGCAATCTGCAAACTGTAAATGATGTAACGTAAAGCATTAGGCATATTTTTAACACTTTTCAGTTTTGTACACATTTCAATAAAATATACTTAGTTTGGAAGTACCTTGAATCTGCAGGTTAAAATAGCAATGGCTCTCAGAGTTAATGGAGATACTTTTTACTGAAGTAATCTCTACATTTTTATATGCTTCATAATTCATAGTCTTAAAAAAATATGTATCATTCCTCCAATCACAAAGCCACAGTCAAAACTTTTCACTATGAACCTCACTGTATATAAGACAATATTATAACCCACCTATACATGGATGATGCCTGGTGAGCCTCCAAGGGAACTAGCTTGATGAAAATATCCTGCCCAGCAACCTCGGGATCAGTCACACTGAATGGAATACCTTTGACCAAAGAGGCTCCCTTCACCTCAGGCAGGGAAGAAATTGGTGGCACCTTTTCATGATATACAAATTCATTCTCTTTCTGTGCAGCTGTGAGTTTTCCGCCCATCACATCGTGTGAAAAAGTCAAGCTCTCGGTGATAAGCTGCAGAGCAAAGCAAACAAACATTATACCTCCATCAACCTCTCTTAAAATCTTGCTGCTCTTAGCATTTACCTCCACAACCTGCATGTACGAGAGCTAAAACTCCTTCTTTGCCTCGTTACCAAAATTATGAAGGAAACTCTCCCTTGGTTCATTCTATCCAATAATTGTAATCTCACTACCTTACTCTATTTTATCCTATAATGGAGCAAAATAGGAGGCCTTAGAGTGATTATAAAACTGTAGTGGAGGGAAGATGGGGAAAGTGTCATCCTAGGAAACGATGGAGGAAAGGGGGGTAAAGGTGTCAGCATAGTTGCTGATCCCTGTGTTGTATAGCATATCAGTATCATCCATGTGCTTTAGATAGGAGATCCCTAGGCCTGTGACTGTTGTGTGACGTCACGGGATGCGCATGTGTACGTTCGTACCTCTGCCTCCCTCTCAGTCGGCGTTTTGACACAGGCTAGGACAGGCAGAGGCTGGGCTCCATTTCTCATCATCACAGTCTGACAATATATCGTTACCATCCAACAAGTGTGTCTACCTTCAACCCTCGATATCTCCATTTAAGAACCCCTACGATAAAGGAGGCTTTGTATGCAAGGGGCTTGGACATCCAGCAGGTATGCGTGAGTGTGTTACAGGAATGAGTGGAGGCAAGTGGTTCATGGGATCTGATGAACTGTTGGAATGTGAGCAAGGTAACATTTTGTGAAGGGGTTTAGGGACACCAGTTAGCCTGACTCAGTCCTGGAGGTGGCAAGTACAATGTCTGAACTCTAAAGTAAGGGTAGGGATATTTGCTGTTTGGAGGGACATCTGAACTGTTGTATCTGAGTGCCTCTGGCAAGATAAGTGATAGTTTGAATGACGGTGAAAGAGTTTCTTTTTCAGGTCACCTTACCTCACCTTGCCTCGGTGGGAGACGGCCGACTTGTTGAAAAAAAAAAAAAAAAAAAAAAAATATATATATATATATATATATATATATATATATATATTAAAGGTGAATACAGGAAAGAGTAAGGTTATGAGGATAACAAAAAGATTAGGTGATGAAAGATTGAATATCAGATTGGAGGGAGAGAGTATGGAGGAGGTGAACGTATTCAGATATTTGGGAGTGGACGTGTCAGCGGATGGGTCTATGAAAGATGAGGTGAATCATAGAATTGATGAGGGAAAAAGAGTGAGTGGGTGCACTTAGGAGTCTGTGGAGACAAAGAACTTTGTCCTTGGAGGCAAAGAGGGGAATGTATGAGAGTATAGTTTTACCAACGCTCTTATATGGGTGTGAAGCGTGGGTGATGAATGTTGCAGCGAGGAGAAGGCTGGAGGCAGTGGAGATGTCATGTCTGAGGGCAATGTGTGGTGTGAATATAATGCAGAGAATTCGTAGTTTGGAAGTTAGGAGGAGGTGCGGGATTACCAAAACTGTTGTCCAGAGGGCTGAGGAAGGGTTGTTGAGGTGGTTCGGACATGTAGAGAGAATGGAGCGAAACAGAATGACTTCAAGAGTGTATCAGTCTGTAGTGGAAGGAAGGCGGGGTAGGGGTCGGCCTAGGAAGGGTTGGAGGGAGGGGGTAAAGGAGGTTTTGTGTGCGAGGGGCTTGGACTTCCAGCAGGCATGCGTGAGCGTGTTTGATAGGAGTGAATGGAGACAAATGGTTTTTAATACTTGACGTGCTGTTGGAGTGTGAGCAAAGTAACATTTATGAAGGGATTCAGGGAAACCGGCAGGCCGGACTTGAGTCCTGGAGATGGGAAGTACAGTGCCTGCACTCTGAAGGAGGGGTGTTAATGTTGCAGTTTAAAAACTGTAGTGTAAAGCACCCTTCTGGCAAGACAGTGATGGAGTGAATGATGGTGAAAGTTTTTCTTTTTCGGGCCACCCTGCCTTGGTGGGAATCGGCCGGTGTGATAATAAATAAAATAAATATATATATATATATATATATATATTTATATATAATATATATATATATATATATATATATATATATATAATATATATATATATTATATATATATATATATATATATATAATTTTTTTTTTTTTTTTTTATCAACAAGTCGCCGTCTCCCACCGAGGCAGGGTGACCCAAAAAAAAAAGAAAGAAAATCCCCAAAAAGAAAATACTTTCATCATCATTCAACACTTTCACCACACTCACACATTATCACTGCTTTTGCAGAGGTGCTCAGAATACAACAGTTTAGAAGCATATATGTATAGAGATACACAACATATCCCTCCAAACTGCCAATATCCCAAACCCCTCCTTTAAAGTGCAGGCATTGTACTTCCCATTTCCAGGACTCATACAAAGCCATTAATTAGTATAAACATTGTATATTCACCAACAGCTAAATATACCATATATATGAATGCACTAATATATATGCAACTACAGAAAAACCAATTATCTCAGTTATGACTACCTGGCACTTCCTATCACTATCTGTACAATTCAAGCCATATTACTAAGCTGTTCTCACTAAACACTACTAACTGAAGAGCAGATAACTGTACACTAAAATTATACACTGCATCATGAAAGAAGTTTATGGTAACTGCTTAACTTCTGAAGTATTCCCCACAACATAAAATACAGACGATTATGTAAAATTTAAATTGTACAGCAAGTGCAAAACTTAAATTCAAACCTCATGAGCCTCCACATCGCTTATGCTTTGAGATGACTTGTTGAGCATCTGCATTTCTTCCTTGAAGTGTTAAAACAAAAGATTTTATACAGAATTAAATTACACACAGTACTATAAATAATGTACAATATTAACAGTAAATAAAACACTATAGTACTGTACATAGAAACAAAAATTGAAAATACACTGTTATACACACTCATGCATCTAATTCACTCTGCTCTCAATCACAGAAAAGACTAAACATGAGAAATTACTGCATTACCTCTTGTTGCTCTAGATTTTTAGCTATTTTTGAAGCCTCATTAAGAGTATCAACAGCAGCCTGATAATATGCAAGTCGCTCCCCCATCTTCTGCTGTTCTTCTGCTTGCATTCCTTGGTACAGCAGGGCAACAGCACTATGGTAAGTCATCTTAAATTCACAGTACCGGTGCCACATCTGTCAAGTACAACTATTAGTTATAAAACAAAGAAATATCTATATCTGTGAGTACAGTATCTAATCTGCAATTTCCCCCACCTCAATCAGTACTGCATTCTTTATTATGTCCTAACACATCCAAAATATGTTCCAAATAGCCACAGAGATAAGGAATACAGTTATGTACAGTGATGTTAGGAGATTCAACTCAATTCTCTGTGTTCTCAAAATATGGTAAGACCAAACAAAAAAAGTAAAACAAAAATTTTACACCTGGACTATCTTACATAGTTAAGAGGTATCTTATGATTCAAGGAAATTTATACTCAATGCTAAAATAATATACACTTGCTGGAGAGGCCATCTACCATTTTCAAAGACAGCCTAGGCTATCTAATTTTTTAGTTACACTACTGTAGTGGTTACTTTATGTATTATCTAGACATACCTTTAACTTTCTTGACCCAACAATCTCTGTAACCACTGCATCAGTTGACTTGCCAGACCAGAGACTCTTCATTGCGGCTCTCAAATATTCTACAACTTGCATGGCAACTTTTGCTACAAGAGAAATTTTTAATATAAATGGCTTTATTTTGAAAATATGCAAATTACAAGAAAATAAGATGAAACTTATTAGGAAGCAAGGTTGAAAAAGTAGACACATCCTCCATACCACTGCAAATGTTTCATAATGTTGATTATGAGAGAATGAATATGTACCATGCATAATAAAAACCATTCGCAATGATATATTACAGTGTATTAACTCTGGTGCAATCTATATTTATTTTTATTTTAGCATATACAATACTATACATGAATTACTACTAATTATTATTGTACTGGGATACTAATAACACTATACATGTACCTGGATATTTTATACGCCTTGCATATATATTCTTCACTATGTCAAGGATACACTTTCGTCCATCAAATCTCGTCTCCAAACTCATTGTGTGTCAGCTGTCATATATTCCTACAATGTTTCTCTTCATTCAATGAATGCTTTCTAACATTCTACAGAATAAATGTTGTAACTCTGAAGGAATACAAGAACCACCTCATTATGAATTCACAGCCAGTGATAGGTTTCCAATTGTTTTAAATTTGTCTTTATTCAGAAATTCATAGTGTTGTTTCATTATCCTTCTTCCTACAGTACATCTCTATAAGAAGCACATGGACACTGTTTTCAACAAAATATCTTACAAGCATAACTTCTTTTAGCATAATGCAGCAAAATAAAAAATTATTTTCAGTTCCTGCAGCTCTTTAATATAATGATGTAGGCATTTATCCAGTTCTTGTTAATATGCAATACAATACAATACAGTACATTTAATAAAATTGAAAACATCAAACGATATTTCTGAAAATGCAAAAATGGCATGTTTGTGGTCTTGATTACCCTATATGTTATACCTATTTAGCATGTAGCTTGCAAAAAAAAATTGTCTTCAGGATACAAAATAATTTTACAAGACTAAAAGGTCTTACCTATAATAGTTGGTTTGCGATTATCAGTCATGCTCTTTTCAAGGATGCATTCTTGTGCTTGTGCCAGAGCTACATTATACATGAATGTCAATAATGTAGGGCTTAAATCAGACTCCCGGGGTTGGGGATAAGTTTCTCGAAGATGCTGCAAAAATGAAAAAAATAAAAATATTCAACAGCCATTATTAACTTCTATTTTTAAGTTTTAATTTTACTGTCATCCCTGAAAGGAAATGAAATACTGTACTGTGTTAGATTTAATCCAAAGGTATCCGTCAGATGTTACAGCAGGAAAAGTATCGCTTGTAGTGTCAAGAGAATTTTCCAATATATAAAATAAATGGTCAGCAAATATGGTACAAACAATAAGAATATATATGTGAATACTGAATATGAAATTTACTTTTCCTTTCAACCCATTCTCCTAAAACTGTTTAACCCTTAAACTGTCCAAGCTGATCTACATTCACATGCGTAGTGCTCCAAAAGTAGATCTACGTTTTTTACATATTTTCAAATATAACAGAAAAAAAAAAATAGATCAAAGTTTTTTTACACGTTTTCAAATGTAAAAAAAAAAAAAAAAAAAAAGATCTACTTTTTTTACGTACTTTCAAATGTTGAAAAAACGTAGATCTACGTTTGGACAGTTTAAGGGTTAATGCAAATTTCCCAACTTACATTATTTAGTTTATGTTTGACTCTCCCATTAAATAAAAATTAAGCAGCTGTAATTCATATTACATGGGACAAACTTCAAATCTTAGGACATTCATTAAAGTGCATAATACAAGTTCTGTGACAAACCAATCACCCTCAGAACACATTTCTGGAACATGGCATTACAATATACAAACCATAGCAAGTCATCAGAAATACAACAAAGCATTAGCAAATTATGATCTTTTTTTAAATTTTCTCATGTTTTGCTAATGTTTTAGTGCATATTTAATAACTCATGATATGAATATTATAAATAACAAAAAAGGCACAATACTGTGACTGGAACGATACACAAATAACCCGCACACAGAAGAGAGGAACTTACAACGACGTTTCGGTCTGACTTGGACCACTTACGAAGTCACACTAACGAGAAGTAGAGCAGGAAGGGTATATATAAGCAGGAAGTGGTAGTAGTAGTGGGGAAGTAAGGAAGAGGAGCCAGTCAAATACTAAGAAAGGGGAGCACTGCAATAGAACTAGGTGCCCACAGAGGATAAGACCAAGAACACAGAGGGAGGAAAATAATAAAAAATAAATAATGAAGGAACAAAAACACAAGGCAGAAGAAAGACAACCCAGAGGAGAAAAAGGAAAGAGGAAAGGGGAAGAGGGAAGAAGAAAAAGGAGGAATTAGGTTAGGTCATGGGTGTTCTGAAGTTTGGAGCATTGTACAATGTAGTAGGAAAGGAAGGCATCTACAGAGACAAAGCCAGGACTAAGATTCGTACAAGGAAAGTTGCGCATTAGGGAGGATTCAACCAGTCGCCGTCTGGTTGAATCCACCCTAATGCACAACTTTCCTTGTATGAATTTTAGTCCTGGCTTTGTCTCTGTAGATGCTTTCCTTTCCCACTGCACTGTAAAATGCTCCAAACTTCAGAACACCTGTGACCTAACCTGATTCCTCCTTTTTCTTCTTCTCCTTCTTCTTCCCCTTTCTTCTTTCCTTTTTCTCCTCTGGGTTGTCTTTCTTCTGACTTGTGTTTTTGTTCCTTTTTGCTGGCACAAAATAAAAAAAAAACATTAAAAATAAGCAAATACTACAACAGCAGACTATACAGGCCAGAAGTTACCTGGAAAGCCCAAGCTGCACACTGAAAATGTGTACAGCTGATTTTCATGCCATCTGGAGTGTTTCTTGCATCCATGGCTCCCAGGTCTGTATGCAGAGCTCCTATGTTGTATAGAATGCATGCCATCTCATATTTAATGTCTGTTACATTATACACCACACTTGAGTATAAATCATACCTGCAATATAATAATCACAACTATCTGAATAAGAATGACAATTTAAAAATTAATAAAAAATCAATACTGTAAGAGGAACAAAGTTTAAATATGAATATTCAGGACTTTTCATAACATTGTCTAGTTCATTCTACATATTTGCCACAATTTATGATACAGTTTTTGTTTTCTGTTAAGTCTCATATTTAAAAACATACATGTTGGTTATATTTCCTACTTTTTACAGTATTATATTTACTCCAATGTAATATATTTTCCACACATCCAATATTAAAAAAAAATCTTACCAATTGAATGTTATGGAAATTGAAGGGTTTTCACTGAGTGGAAACCTTGATAAGATGAAGTGCAGCTGACAATAGTATTTCTTGAGAATGGAACATCCTGTAAAATCATGTGGAGCATGGGTGGCACTTACTCGCAATGCTTCCAACTCATGGATTTCTGTACTGTAGCTATCAGGATCTTCATTATAATGGTCACGAATATACTGCAAATAAAGAAAAACAGTATACAGTAATTTAAAACAGTAGAATAATGATCAAAAACATACACTATTACTGCTCTTAAAACCTGAAACCAAGAAATAGAAACTTCAACTAATTCTGAAGCTGCAACTGTCAAGAACAAACCATCCTCCAGCTCAGCAACTGCAGCTTCACTGGCAGTGGTTTCACCAACTGCTATAACTCTGACATCAACACCTGCAGGTCCAAGCAGTGTTAGGAAATTGGCATTTTCTTCACCTCAGCCTCAAAAAGTTTCTCCAAATACCTCACTTTTTTTTTTAACAAATTACAGCAAATGTTTTTTTGCTAGGAAAAAGCTCCAGATCATTCCCACCAGCAAACAGAAAAAGAAGAGATGACCTTGAGTCACATAACAGAAAAAGTGCTTGCTGTTTAAAACAGCATATACAAAAAATGCAAAGACTCCCCTATAAATAAGTTGAGCAAAAAAGAAAAAAAGAAAAAACAGTTTTGGTAGATGAGTGACTATCCTAGCTAGGAGTGATAAACAGTACAGTATCAGGTAAATTCAATGAAAGATTATACAAAAAATCCTTAGGTCTATGAACACAGTAATTTGGTGGCTTGCCTGACTAAGATTATGTTCTAAGACTATTAGATTTAGGGAAAACAATATTCAAATTTTGGAGAGAACTTTTTATACTAAACAGTGCTAGCCAAATGACATGGAGACTGCTGCTGTGGAGCACCAGTTTTGTGATGCAATCTAACTGCAATTTACAAATTATGGTGTAGAGGCTTTCTTGGTTTACAATCAGCACCTAAAAGTATGTACTAAAAAAAAAATATCTACCAATGCAGTGACATGAGTTTTACCATTATCTGACCTGTTACCCATCATAACTCTTTCCTACTTTCATTTGTACATTCTACTAAGGACCCTAGTTGGAGGATCAAAATATAAAGCCAATTTCATGTTTAATAAACAACTGGGCTTTCTATCAATACAATAGGACCCCTGTATCCGCAGGAATGTGTTCCAAGGACCTGACATGGATACCGAAATTGTGGTTAGTAGCAAACCCTATATACAAGTTCTATACATACTTATTATAAAGTTTAATTGATAAATTATGCAAATAAGTAGAAAATTATCACTTCCACTGATGGGAAGCACTTCACAGCTTCTCTTAGGCTTAGATGAACTGCACTTTGGGGCCATTATTATGCAAAATTAAGAGGCATTTTTTGGCCACAGTAAACCGTGGATAACTAAAACTGCGGATACCGAATCAATGGATACAGGGGTTCTACTGTATATAATTTTTTATACAACTGGAAATGCTGAATAAGCTGCCCTGCACAGACTGTCTCAACTCGCACCATCAATGTATGTCTGACTATTTATATTCAGGGAAGTGGAGAGTTTGCTGTAAAGTAGCTTGATTGCTTGCGCATTCAGCTCACACACTGAGGTCCGGGAGTCAATCCCTAGTACATCAGGATGTGTTTCCTTAAGACACCTGCTGTCCATGTTCCCTCTCAGTAAAACAGGTACCCAAGTGCTAGGTGACTGAGACAAAATTACCTAATTTGCCCAAAATGATCTGCATAACAAGGGGCTTTCTATAAACAGCAGACCATTATATTACACAGTAGTTACGTTCCTGAAAATGTAGTGTTAGGTAAATCCATGTAAGTTAAACTGAAGAACTTATGGGAAAAGTAGGGTTATGTTCCTCGGAGCCCCAAAAAAGCCAAACAACTTTTTTTTAGACCTCCAAATCTTACAAAATAAAAGTGAATATGTAATTGTAGTACATTGCCATGATGTATTTTGTTGTTTTTACTACTTAAGACTACAAATGCAACAGAAATAATAATATTTCTTACCTTAAATTGTGGGTGCTGGTGTTTGTGGATGATTGTGAAGAGTGGAGAGTTATGCTGTGGCCCTACTTGGCTGAGGTGGATGGTAGAGATTCTGGTACTGAAGTCGATGGTTGTACTGGAGTGTGCATAAATTCTGTAATGGATTTCTGTTCTATTTTACCCCGCAGTACATTATACAACTGACACCGTTTCAGGATCCTCTTCAGTGAAAAAGTCTAACTTTAATTCAGTCAGTAAATCAGTCAAGTCAGTTATTCATCATACAAACTCACAAATTTACCTCATTCTTTTTAGCTGCACAGTGATACTTCATTACTGCCACAGGCTGTCTCTTGTCTAATATTTCTATTTTCTTCGTTAACTAAGAGATAATAACACATATACCTTTTCTTGCCACTTTCAGCAACACTGGTATGCCTACTGGGTGCTATGATTGCTGGGCAGATACAAGATATGGCAATTAACAGATCAAAACAATTCACAAACAGCTAGCTCCTAAGGCAGAATGGAACTGAACATTTATTCACGAAGGCTGGGATGGTGGTGGTGGGAGTGTAGGGGTATGGCTGCCCCACAACAAAGGTGACAGCCAGCAAATGGAACCGTGTAAAGTTATGAAGTGTTGTATAAAACTGAGCCGTAATTTTTCAATAGTGCAATAACCAAAACATGGAAAATAAATCAGTGTAATATAACGGTCTACTGTAGTAGCATGTCACTGATGTCAGCTAGGCCTGTATACCTTGTACATGTATTTGTAGAAATTATCATTATTAATATAGCTGATAAAATTATAAAAATGTATCAATTCACCCCACTAGTCTTGTTCAAAATGACTAGTGGCAAAATGCTCCTAGGAGCATTAGTGTTTCATCACAATGCATCCAGCCAATTACAAAGTCTCATTACCTGTCCCACAATCATCACAATGCATCCAGCCAATTACAAAGTCTCGTTACCTGTCCCACAATCATCACAATGCATCCAGCCAATTACAAAGTCTCGTTACCTGTCCCACAATCATCACAATGCATCCAGCCAATTACAAAGTCTCGTTACCTGTCCCACAATGATCACAAATGCATCCTCACTGGAGTAACATCTGCTGTGAATGATACTTGTGATTACTTTTACGACAATTCCCCAATTCACTGAGCAATACGAATGACAGTAAATGACAATCGGGTTACACTGTGCCTGAATATTGTATACATGTAATATACAATTATTTATCAGATTAGACTGGCTTGTTATGGTGGTCAATGGCCTGGTAGGCACTTGCTTCACACACTGAAGATCTGTGGTTCAATCCCTGGTAAGGGTGGAAACATTGGGCGTGTTTCCTTACACCTGTTGTCCTGTTCACATAGGTAGGTACCTGGGTGCTAGTCAACTGGTGTGGGTTGCATCCTGAGGGACAAGACTGAGGACCCTAATGTATACAAGACAGTCCCTCAATGATGCACTGCCTTTCTTGGATTATCGTGGGTGCTAACCTTCTGGGGTTAAAAATCCAAACAAAATCTTATCTTACTTCATGATGAAGTAAATGCATCTCTAAAATAACAATATGAGTAAGAAATAGCTATTTTGGACAGGTGGCTATGAACAACTTGCTTATTACCTGGAGTTTACCTGGAGAGAGTTCCGGGGGTCAACGCCCCCGCGGCCCAGTCTGTGACCAGGCCTCCTGGTGGATCAGAGCCTGATCAACCAGGCTGTTACTGTTGGCTGCACGCAAACCAACGTACGAGCTACAGCCCGGCTGGTCAGGAACTGACTTTAGGTGCTTGTCCAATGCCAGCTTGAAGACTGTCAGGGGTCTGTTGGTAATCCCCCTTATGTATGCTGGGAGGCAGTTGAACAGTCTCAGGCCCCTGACACTTATTGTATGGTCTCTTAACGTGCTAGTGACACCCCTGCTTTTCATTGGGGGGATGTTGCATCGTCTGCCAAGTCTTTTGCTTTCGTAGTGAGTGATTTTCGTGTGCAAGTTCGGTACTAGTCCCTCTAGGATTTTCCAGGTGTATATAATCATGTATCTCTCCCGCCTGCATTCCAGGGAATACAGGTTTAGGAACCTCAAGCGCTCCCAGTAATTGAGGTGTTTTATCTCCGTTATGCGCGCCGTGAAGGTTCTCTGTACATTTTCTAGGTCAGCAATTTCACCTGCCTTGAAAGGTGCTGTTAGTGTGCAGCAATATTCCAGCCTAGATAGAACAAACGACCTGAAGAGTGTTATCATAGGCTTGGCCTCCCTAGTTTTGAAGGTTCTCATTATCCATCCTGTCATTTTTCTAGCAGATGCGATTGATACAATGTTATGGTCCTTGAAGATGAGATCCTCCGACATGATCACTCCCAGGTCTTTGACGTTGGTGTTTCGCTCTATTTTGTGGCCAGAATTTGTTTTGTACTCTGATGAAGATTTAATTTCCTCGTGTTTACCATGTCTGAGTAATTGAAATTTCTCATCGTTGAACTTTATATTGTTTTCTGCAGCCCACTGAAAGATTTGGTTGATGTCCGCCTGGAGCCTTGCAGTGTCTGCAATGGAAGACACTGTCATGCAGATTAAATTAAATGCAGAGTTCTGACCCAGAGTTAAATATTAACCCATATATTTTTTACATTGGGGCAAGGAGGAATAACATCTTGTAGGAGTGAGGAAGAGCCAGTTGTGAGTGTGGGGGAAGTTCTTGAGGCAGTAGGTAAAATGAAAGGGGGTAAGGCAGCCGGGATTGATGGGATAAAGATAGAAATGTTAAAAGCAGGTGGGGATATAGTTCTGGAGTGGTTGGTGCAATTATTTAATAAATGTATGGAAGAGGGTAAGGTACCTAGGGATTGGCAGAGAGCATGCATAGTTCCTTTGTATAAAGGCAAAGGGGATAAAAGAGAGTGCAAAAATTATAGGGGGATAAGTCTGTTGAGTGTACCTGGTAAAGTGTATGGTAGAGTTATAATTGAAAGAATTAAGAGTAAGACGGAGAATAGGATAGCAGATGAACAAGGAGGCTTTAGGAAAGGTAGGGGGTGTGTGGACCAGGTGTTTACAGTGAAACATATAAGTGAACAGTATTTAGATAAGGCTAAAGAGGTCTTTGTGGCATTTATGGATTTGGAAAAGGCGTATGACAGGGTGGATAGGGGGCAATGTGGCAGATGTTGCAAGTGTATGGTGTAGGAGGTAGGTTACTGAAAGCAGTGAAGAGTTTTTACGAGGATAGTGAGGCTCAAGTTAGAGTATGTAGGAAAGAGGGAAATTTTTTCCCAGTAAAAGTAGGCCTTAGACAAGGATGTGTGATGTCACCGTGGTTGTTTAATATATTTATAGATGGGGTTGTAAGAGAAGTAAATGCGAGGGTCTTGGCAAGAGGCGTGGAGTTAAAAGATAAAGAATCACACACAAAGTGGGAGTTGTCACAGCTGCTCTTTGCTGATGACACTGTGCTCTTGGGAGATTCTGAAGAGAAGTTGCAGAGATTGGTGGATGAATTTGGTAGGGTGTGCAAAAGAAGAAAATTAAAGGTGAATACAGGAAAGAGTAAGGTTATGAGGATAACAAAAAGATTAGGTGATGAAAGATTGAATATCAGATTGGAGGGAGAGAGTATGGAGGAGGTGAACGTATTCAGATATTTGGGAGTGGACGTGTCAGCGGATGGGTCTATGAAAGATGAGGTGAATCATAGAATTGATGAGGGAAAAAGAGTGAGTGGTGCACTTAGGAGTCTGTGGAGACAAAGAACTTTGTCCTTGGAGGCAAAGAGGGGAATGTATGAGAGTATAGTTTTACCAACGCTCTTATATGGGTGTGAAGCGTGGGTGATGAATGTTGCAGCGAGGAGAAGGCTGGAGGCAGTGGAGATGTCATGTCTGAGGGCAATGTGTGGTGTGAATATAATGCAGAGAATTCGTAGTTTGGAAGTTAGGAGGAGGTGCGGGATTACCAAAACTGTTGTCCAGAGGGCTGAGGAAGGGTTGTTGAGGTGGTTCGGACATGTAGAGAGAATGGAGCGAAACAGAATGACTTCAAGAGTGTATCAGTCTGTAGTGGAAGGAAGGCGGGGTAGGGGTCGGCCTAGGAAGGGTTGGAGGGAGGGGGTAAAGGAGGTTTTGTGTGCGAGGGGCTTGGACTTCCAGCAGGCATGCGTGAGCGTGTTTGATAGGAGTGAATGGAGACAAATGGTTTTTAATACTTGACGTGCTGTTGGAGTGTGAGCAAAGTAACATTTATGAAGGGATTCAGGGAAACCGGCAGGCCGGACTTGAGTCCTGGAGATGGGAAGTACAGTGCCTGCACTCTGAAGGAGGGGTGTTAATGTTGCAGTTTAAAAACTGTAGTGTAAAGCACCCTTCTGGCAAGACAGTGATGGAGTGAATGATGGTGAAAGTTTTTCTTTTTCGGGCCACCCTGCCTTGGTGGGAATCGGCCGGTGTGATAATAAAAAAAAAAAAAAATATTTTTTACATAGAAATGAAGTGTTAAACAGTAGTGTTATAAACAATGTTGTCTGCAGTCAACAAATTATATAAGATATAATGCATTGGTTAAAAATTAACACGATCATGTTAGCAAACACAATATGAAATGAAAATGAAAACTTTTCTTTGCAAAGCTTACAATGTGTGGTTTACATATTATAAAATATTAATTACAAAGAATGCCTCTAGTATGCCTAGGCATTTCAGGCAGATTGTACAAACATTAAAAACGGGGTAAAAAAAAACATACTCTAAAGTACTATACGTAGTTGTGGTATTCCATCATTATTTTATTCACTTGATAAACCCAAGTGAAGAGAGATTTTTTTATGATATTACTGTTATATATTGTTATACAAACATGGAAAACCTACAGTTATGTAAAACTTTAAGTCACCATTTTGGAAATAGAGCACTTGTAAAACAGTAAATTTATACTCATTCATTATTATATTAAACAAAGCAAATGCTAAACCAATGTATGTGAAATTAAGATGAATAAAACTTGTTAAAGTTGAGAGGGAGATGCTAGGTCAGGGGGGGTTCATGAGGTACAAGTTTATTTGTACCAAACACACAGCATAATATATCCATCTCTGAGTGCTGTCACTAACACAGAGATGGAAGTGATGCAGATAGACAAAGCCAGCAACGACAGAGACAGAGAGAGAGAGAGATAAGAGAAGAGTGAAATTCATCAGTCATGTGAAGACGGGTGTGAGGCAGCGTCCATGATTCATCAAGTCTCTCTTCCTTCCTCTTCCAGCTGCTGCCACTCACTACACCCCATGTCACCTTCAATTTCCCTCACACACAGTGCCTCCTCTAACCTACCTGTCTCAGCTTGGGGCCAAATTCGACACTTTCAACGCTGGACTTGAGTTCGAAGCCTAACATAGGCAAGCGCGGCACTGCCTCCATTTTCAACAACCTTCATGTCAACAGTTCCAATAATACCTCACCACTTTCCTTCATCTTCTAAACTTTGTCTCTCACAATATTTATCCCACAATTTTGAGCCATTTCGCTGCTTATTTATGCTCATTAATATGTTTTAGCTAATACCTAATGGTAGAGATACTGTGGCTGAAGCAATACAATGTAGTAAGTTTATTTATGTACTGGTACATGTAAGTGCAAATATAAATAAGTTTATTTAGCTACAGATACACTTAAATACAGTTACACAAATTATCATACAAAGTAACATATGTGTAAATTACCTAGGATAACCCAAAAAGGTCATTGGGGTCCTTAAAATTTCACAATATTATTATGAAGGGAAAGCGCTAAACCCGTAGGATAATACAGCGCCTGTGGGGATGGGGATATGGAAGGTATTCAGGTATAATTCAAGGAACTGGAGCCCAGATCCAATTTCCTAGATCAAAGGCCTCTCACCAGCATCAAGGAACCTCCCTTGAAGGGTTATATCCTTGGAGCAGCCTCATGTCCTCTTCCTTTCGATAGAAGCCATAATAATAATAATATCTTTATTTAATACAAGTACAGGCCTAGCTGACATGAATGACATACTACTATATATAAAGTCCCTTGTTACGCAGAGCATTTCGGGCAAATTAAGTCCTTGTCTCAGGATGCGACCCACACCAGTCCACTAACCCCCAGGTACCCATTTTCAATGATGGGTGAACATAGACAACCGGTGTAAAGAAACGCCCAATGTTTCTACCCTCAATGTTAGTTAGTTTAATATGTTTATTATGCACCCCATACCCATCCTGTGGGCGGTAGTCAAAAGATTACAGAGGTACATAATTGGTCCAGGGACTGGACTCCCTCAATGGAAATCGAACCCAGACGTTGCCGTGTGAAGCGAGAGCTTTAGCCACCAGGCCACAAGGGATTGCTACAGCAGTACTGACTTTTTTGGGCTATCATATGTGATTCACACTATATATGATAATTGTACATATGTATACCTGTTCCTAAATAATCTTACTTACATGTGTGACTGGTGACAGGCTGTTAGATGACCTAACCGTCACCTCATGTTACTTACACCAATGTCACTAAGTTTATTTAGGCACAGGTACATATAAGTACATAAAGTAAATTACCTAGGATAACCCATAAAAGTCAAAGTTACATATTTCCATCATGATCCTTGACTTATTTCCATTGGGATCCTTGACCCATTCACCATCAGATTCTCCAACACCCGAGAGACTCTTAATCATGTACTGAGAAAACTAAGGTACTCAAAAGGCGTCGTTCTCCACATTATTATTATTATTATAATCAAGGGGGAAGCGCTAAACCCGGAGGATTATACAGCGCCTGGGGGGGGTGTGGAAGGCATTCAGGCTTAATTCAGGGAACTGGAGCACAGATCCAATTCCCTAAATCAAGAGCCCCTCACCAACATCAAGGAACCTTCCTTGAGGGGTCGTTCTCCACAAAGAGGCGCAGTTCGCTGGATCCAGTTGCAACAAGGGTCTCGACTATCATCTCTCTTTATCATAAGTATGGGAAGCACTGAATCCAAAAGAGACTATACAATACCTAGGGAATAGATTGCATCTAGGTTTAACTCAGGGAAACGGGATACCTCCAATCCCTTGGATCAAGAGCCTTCACTAGCATTGACACTTCTCTTGAAGGACCTTCATCAAGAGCCCTTGATGGGACCTATATGGACCTTACTCAGGAGTCCTGAAGGGATTGCTAGCACACTCAGCTCATACACTGAGGTCCAGGGGTTGATCCTTGGTAAGGGTGGAAAATTAGGACATGTTTCCTTAAGACACCTGTTGTCCCTGTTCACGTATCAGTAAAAGTTACCTAGGTGTTAGCTAACTGGTGTGGGTCACATCCTGGGGACAAACTGACCTAATTTGCCCGAAATGATCTGCATAACAAGCAACATTCTATATAGTAGTATGTCACTGATGTCAGCTAGGCCTGTATACCTTGTACATGTACTTGTAGAAATAAAGATTATTATTATTAGTCAGATGAAGAGCATTATGGCCTCTCAACCTATATTTATTCATGCATTTATTCAACTTTATTTAATACAGTACCTGGATTGTTTTACATTCATGGGAACACTAAACCAACAGGGGTCATACATTTTTCATTGGGGGAACACTAAACCCATAGGAATCGTATGACACCTGTAGGGAATAGGAAGCATTCAGGATTGATCCAAGGGAAGGATGGGTCCAATTCCTTGGATCATGAGCCCCTCACTGGCATCAAGGACCCTCTAAGGGTCAAGAGCTCTTCACAAAATTTCAGCATAACTGTTGTTTTCAATTACAGTATAATGATAATCAAGTTAAGCTCTAAACCTAAAATGAGATGTTGCCTTTAAAAACTCATGCACAGTGTTATAGTCACAAAGTTCTAAACCAATATAGCTCATTATTATTATAATCAAAACTAAGCACTAAACCCACCAGGGTCGTACAGTGTTCCAATATAGCTCAGAGCAATTATGTGTGAAATTACAGTATAGTTTGCTTCTGTAGTTTAATCACATATGGTAAAAATAAATATATTATTATGGGGAGGCACTGTATAAGTTGTATCATGTACTTATAGAAATGAAGTTTTATTATCATTATTATTATTAAACCCATAAGGGTCATATAGCACACAGGAAGAATAATCCCGGAGCAGATGAGAGAGCCAGACTGGGAGGATACAGAAACTAGTAAATGGCCAACATTCTATAAATATATTACACAATATAACTGTAAAAGATGGTCAAGCAGCCAGATTTATTATTTCTGGCTTGAAATGTTGCTTGGTCAGGGTGAGTTAAAGACTGGTCCAGGTTTGTCATGTACCATGCTACACTTTTAATCTACTTTCATGTATATTTGTTTTATTCATTAGAATTATTTTTTTCTATGTATAATATGTTATTAACATCTCTGTAAACATATCTGTAAAATATTTATGTTCTATCATGTTGTATTAACCCTATGTCAGGTTTTAGCTTGCTGAAGTGTGCTGCATAACCAGGGGCTTGCCATTTGTACATCCGTCATCCATTGTACAAGCTATGCATCACATACAAATAAAGTATTTTTAATATACTGTATTATTATTAGCTGGACTTGAGTCATGGAGATGAAAAATACAGTGCCTGCACTCTGAATGAGGAAGAGTGGGGATGTTACAGTTTGGAGAGGCATCTGAACTGTGATACTGGCACTCTTCTGGCAAGACAGTGATCAAATAGGTGATAGTGAAATGGTTTTCTTGTTTGTCAGGTCTCCCTACCTAGGTGGGAGACAGTGAAGTGTTAAAAAAATTATTATTATTTTTACAAAATATCCACTAGCTGGTTATGGTTGATGAAGTGAATTATTATTATTATATTTGTCAGAAAGTGTTAAGGCCTGTAGGGGTCATACTGCATCTGAGAGATGGGAGGTAATAAATTTAAATCTGAGAAAGAGAATAGCTAAAATTCCTTGAATCAAGAGCCTTCTACCAGCATCACAGCATCTCTTTCCCCCCATCATTAAGGGGTGATGAGGTGAAGTATGATAAACCATACCCCCGGCCGGGATTGAACCTGCAGTCATAGAGTCTCAAAACTCCAGCCCGTCGCGTTGGTTTGTTTGCAATCGTGTCATTACAATTTCTTAAGTCGTGAAGTATGATAGTCTGTCATGTGAGGTGATGGATGGAGTGTTGAATAATGGTGGTGAGGAAAGAGACAGAGGGGTCAGGTACCGAGACTACATAAATGCTGCCAGTGAACTAATATAGTTAGTCTCCAGATTCCTTGTCCTCTGATCCATCCATGCCAAGCTGCAAGCTTGTTTGCTGTATTTTGTTGCTTCAGTACTGCCCTCTTCCCTTCCAGAACAAGTCACCAATGAATCAATGAAATATTATGTACAGCATATCAAATGGTGCAAAAGAAAGGGGATTACATAAACATGTGGGTTGAAGTTATCACCACTATGGTTAAAACTAGAGGTTGACTGTGTAGGATGGGTAGGACAAGAGCAAAAATCATAGCTAGAGAGTTCGTCAGAGAAGTCGGGTTCAAAATCAGTGGTGCAGTTGGAGGCAGGACAACATTCAACAAAAATTAAATTGACAGAACTGACAACAATGACAACAGGAAACACATGAAGTTGCTACCATGTGCAAAGTTATCAGACTAGACTGCATGGGCAAAGGTACTTGAAGAAGAAAAGACTGGGAAGGGAAAAGGATAGACATTTATATGATGAAACACAATCATGCCATTAGGGGTGGAGCATCTGAGATATGAGAAGTATTCATGTTGGATCCAGGAAAGGGAAGGGTAACTTCAATTACATGGATCAAGAGTCCTTCATTGAAATCAAGGTATTGCTTTAAAGGGTTGGGGAAAAAAGCATCAGATCATGAAGCAATGCTGAGACAAGGCAGAAGGTTAGACAATGATGAGGTCCTTGAGACAAGGTGAATCAGGATCTCTTTGTTGAAAGCTCGATAATGTTGATCAGCTCTAACGAAGTAGCAAACCAGTTGCCGACAATTTGAAACGAAAGAATTAATATTGAACTGGAAGATGTAGAGAGATCTGGGGCAGAAGAAAGCTAGAGTGCAAATTTTAAACAAAAGCCTATGGTTAGTTTTCAATTAAGGAACAAGCAAAAAACAGAACGTGTACAGTAGAAAACTTACATATAATCAAAACCATTCATGAGATGCCCTTTGGTGAAAATGTTTAATAGAATCTTGTGAATTATGAAGCTCGCCAATAGTGAAGCTCACAAATTTTGGGGTTCGACTGTATAGGTAAAGGCACCATGAGGGAGAGAAGGGGCAACCCCTGTACTCTCCTCCCCAGTAAAGGTCAATTGTTTTACTAAGTGTAACTCCTATGCATGAATTATAAAGGTTATTTAAATATAATAAAAATAATAATAGTTTTAAATGATGTAATATATATCATATGGGCTACACAATATGTACAGAAAG